GGTGCGCGTTGCCGCTGCACGAAGCGGCGATGGGCGTCATCCGGTGGCTCGTACGCGTCCGCCATTTCATCGAACACCCCACGCAGAGTTTTCTTCTTCGCAGCTTTTATAGAGCGAAAAAAACGAACGGACTCATCATCAAGAAGAGTCGGAAGCACCTCCAGTGCCTCAGCGTCCGTCCACCTTGCCGTACGTACCGCCGCCAAAAATCTACAGGCGAACGCACTCCAATCGCCCCCGATGGAGAACTCTTTGACGGTTGTAAGGTGACGACTGCGGCCCCTTGGCCTGCTTCCGTCCGTCGCTGACTCTTCCGGCGGTAAGTTCAGCAAGGCGTCGCAACGCGGTGTCGCCAAGATGGCGGACGATCCTCGCGGCGGCCCCAAAATGGCGGCTTCCCGCCTTCCGTGGTGCGCCACGCCCAAGATGGCGTCTTCACGCCGCGTGGCCGATGGCGGCGCCATCGAAGACAATCCGGGCTCCTGCCGATCACCACCGTCCCCCTCCAACGCCGCCCTTGGCGTGACAAGGTCACACAACTCAGTGATGACGGTTTTAAGAGTCGCCAGCTGCTCCGCCATTTGGGTCCATCTTAAATCTTCGTCCTTCAACGCAGACGGGGCGGACGCAGCGGCAACCTCCTCGACACCCGGGCCCTCACGGATCTCTCCCTCCGCCGAAGTGAAGCCGACCTCAGGAGGAAGATCGTCGTCGTCCGATGATGAAGCCGACGCCGGAGATGGGATATTCTTTTTCCTCAGTTGTTTCGCCATGCCGTTTCACTTCTGACTCCAGTGTAATAAATAGACTCGGACACTTCCTTCTGTCTTCGTGTCTTTTATTGGGTTCTCGTCTTCACCCACACGGCACTCTGTTATAACTCTGTATTTGTAGCCCCCGGCTATTCACTGCTATTATAGCTTCTTCTTCCCTCTGACTCTCTGCTTCATCTACTGTAACCTCCTCCCTGCAGACTCGCTGCTACCTCTATGCAGACTCCCGCTGCTACCCCTATGTGCAGACCCTCTGGCTGCTACCGTATGCAGACCCGCTGCTGACTCTGTATGCAGCCCCGCTGCTGACTCTCTGTGCAGCCCCGCTGCTGACTGCAGCCTCCTCGCTGCTTCGGGTCGGTCACCGCTGGCCAACGGTGCCGACTCTCGCTCCCCCGTGTTCGTGGCGATCTCGCCACCCTCCGCTTCGCCCTTCGTGGCCTCTCTCTGTTCCTGGTTCCCCGTCACTCCTCGTCCTCTTCCGGTTCCCCTCCTTCTATAGCCTAACCCCTCACCCCCCCACGTGACCTAACTCCTCCCCTCCTGACGTCACCTCCGGAGGGCCGTTTACGCCCGCATTACACATACAACAATTGTACCGGATTTACCTCTCCAATCTGGAATACTGTGCATGGGGTGATGTACGTACTACTACGCTCTTGTTTCAACAACATGGATTTGACGATCGCCAGACTGATACAGCCTTTTTAGACCGGTGCTCCAGTGAATGCCGAATTACACGCACACTTTTCGCCAGATTGCACTGTATATTTTCAGTTTTTATTACTGTAGTTATTAGTCATGATAAATCTATATAGTGCAGTATTTTCATTGTTTAAGTTGTATGTCGTGCATAAAATACTGCATGTAATATTTAATACTTAAATCAAGCATAGCTACTTTTTATGTCACGCACATGGTGACGAACGCCGGACTGGTTACGGCCTGAAGAGAGGTTTTGCCGGTTTCGCCTGATTGGCCTAGGACGGTAGGACCGCCGGATAATGTTTTGGCAGCCGGATTGATGATCAACTGTAGTTATAAAGAAATTTGCTTTTTTTGACAAGATGTGAGAATTTGACAACCACCTGTAAGGAGACAAAATGAGACTTGGATTTCACTGTACCTCCCCCCAGTTCGTGGTGGCGTGCTGTGCGGTCAAATGTCACACACCCCGTAGGACCTAGGTGATGTGTGTCGTGCTCTGCCAAGAGAGGCATGGCTGTACAACACACTGAATGTTTATGCATATGGAAGTGCCTACTTAGGCATTCCGTGGAAGGGTGGCTCGGCGCGAGTGCGGGTAACTCGCAATCAGAAGGTTTCAAGTTAAAATCTTGATTGGTGGCACACTCGGGCCATCATCAAAATGAGCACCACTTTATGGGGAAATCAGCAGTGGTATAATGGACAGACTCACCCTTGCCATAGTAATATGGAGGTTTTACCACTGGCTGTGGGCTGTAAATGGGTACCAAGCACCGCCTCTGCTCATTTGAGCTAGAAATTGATCAGAATTTTGACATCTGCATAAATGTGTTAATTTACATGTTCATCACTGTTAGCTATGACCCCCATTATCCACAAGGTTCAGGGGAGCTGGAAATACATATGTAGTGGGTACAGACGGAGACTCAGGCTTACTAATTGAGGCAACACATTTATTAACCTGCTTGCGTTGTAGCCGAAACGTCGTGAGAATTATTTTATTATGTTTTATTTTTATTATTTTATTACTTCCCTTCTACGTGACTTTACCGAAAGAACCAAGAAGATGAATCCCTGCAGTCACGAAAGCTTTAAATCGACATTTATTAACCTTAACACTAACACTATTAAGACAAAGGGGTAACTGCCCCTTTACCAGATAACCTATGGTGGTGGACCACCAGTCGAGCTACTCTAACACTGAGTTAGCTACAACGGACCAGACCCCAACTCAGGTCCGGGTACACGTGTTGGAGAATCCTCTTTCGGCGTAGAACGGTAATTTCTTCATGAAGACAACAGCAGCCGGTCCCACTGGGAACACGGCTTTTATCCTGTGTGGCGGGGCTCGCTCCACCCCTAGCCACGACCCCCTTCTCGAACTCTTGAGGCTCCCCACTGGACACGTGGTCCCCCCAGCCCCCCCTTTGGGGGTCCCCGGGTAAATACCTCCGGTCACGTACCCTTTGGGGCCAATCAGAGTGCCATGGCCCCCTACAACCCCGTTCCGAGGCCGGCACTCTCGCCCCCTATCCTGTAGGGGCTGGCACTGCACATAGAGCGTGGTGCCATTACTTGATTGTCGGTCATTGCTGCCCGAGCCCTGCGAGGGCTGGTACTGCATCCCCAATCACTGGTGTCCGTGGTGGCAATAACTTTGCATGGTGTGCCTTTCCCAGGCTGGCCACACACAGCGACATGCAGTGATGTTGCTACACATATATATCCCTGTACAAATAAAATAAGAAAAGCATTATGTGCAGAGTTGCAGAAACGTCTGTGATTGTACTGACACGGCCACATACAGTACCCGGTAACTATTACCACCTAAAGCGCACCATCCTCCCCATCCTTCACTAATACATCATCGACCTCCTAGTATCCGAGACCACTCTAAAACTTAAAACAAAACTTTATTTTACTAGGTAAGGCCCATTGAGCTATGTATCTCATTTTCAGAAGTGACCTGGTCACAAATTAAAGCTCAACGAAGTGGCTTATCAGGTGGAAATTTATGGCAGCTAAATATGCCTCGTTCCATTTCGTCACTCGTCACTTTGCCCTTGACGCCCCCTGTAGAACGCATCTTTGCAAGCACTATACAGTGGTAACCGAAATAACTGTTCATCAAATTTATGTATGAGTTGAAAAAAAAAATCATTGAGTCTGCCAAAGCAGAAAAGCTAATGTAAACAAAGCCAGTTGAGGTCTAAACGGATCATACAAGTTTGTCGCTGATTGGCTGAGGGCACTCAGCCCACTTACGAGCGCTCGGATTGGGCGAAATTTGTGCCCACTTGCATAACGTAAATGTACCGTTAATCAACATTTTAACGTTAGTCGAAACCATTGGGTGTTATGCGAGGCAAAACGTTAACTGAAAAACCGTAAATCGATATCACTGTTGACCGAGGAACGACTGTTATTGCCTCCAAGTTGTCCCCCGTTGGCATCAGAAGAGATCCCCCCATAAGCTATATTTATACTAAAAGTCCTTTTAAACAAATCGGCAATATATCTAAAGGACCTCCTTGCTCTGAAAATTCCCATCCGCAACTTCAGAAGTACCTGCCTGTTCTTACAAAAAATACTACTGGGTTTGGCGACATGTCCTTCCCTCCACGCTACTGTTCTACATTACCACAATGCCCTTGGCTTTCAGCTTAGACTCGGCTCCCTCTCCACCTTTTCACATCACTCCAAGCTCAGAATGCACAGTTTGGATGTTGCACCTGTACCCCAAAAACATTTACTGTTATTTCCCGATTCCCGTGATGATTATTATATTCGCTCGATCATGTTCACTTTGCCTTGCGGTCATCTCTCATCTTTGCTTTGTTTTTGGTGTAATATGCCTCTTGATTTTGTTAATATTGTTTTTATTGGTTTGTAACCATATCTCTGACGTGTTCTTCCTTTGGTGAATGCCGGTCTGTACATATAATTTTGATGCTTTATTGTGTTCTGTGCTGATACACTATATATCTCCCTTGCCGACTTGCTGGTAACTGGCTAAATTTGACTTTTTGTGCAATTCAAAATATTGGTTTGCGTGATTGGCAATTGTTGTTACCATAAGGGACAACAGGACCGTTAGCGCACGACGCTACACACCCATTCACCTGAGTTCGATTGCCACTCAGCCATTATCAATGATAAATATCTAAACTGGTGCTGGGCCTCCATTAGTTCGACTCAGCCTTAAATGAGTACCTAATGCAGTATAAAAATCAGCACGAGGGAGACAGGTGAACGGGTGTGTGTGGCACTGGTCACACCACAAACTCTTGTGCAGTGTTAACAGCACTTGACTCAACAGTCTGTTCAAGGCTATATGGGGGATCTTTGTATTTTGCTGTCAAATGTGCTGCTGTGACCTGTAGCTTATCTCTGGAATCCTAGAGTCTGTGTGGGGCCGTGTGTGTTCCCTGGTTTGTGTTGCAGATGATCATGTGCACAGTATCACATGAGTTGAGATGTGTTCTGTGGCAAAGTGGTAATGGATTATGCTGTGTGCAGTTTGGATATGGCAGGGTTACCCTACGTGACGCTACGTGGGGGGTGCCGCATGCCGCTGGTGGGATTCGGCACCTGGAAGGTAACACCCCCAATCCACATTTTGTTCCATCTCACCCCAATTCACACTCCATTACACCACACCGCAATTCACACTCCGTTAAACCACACTGCAGTTCACACTCCATTACAAAACATCCCAATTCTCAATCACTTACACCACACCGCAATTCACACTCTATTAAACCACACTGCAGTTCACACTCCATTATACCACCCCAATTCATACTCCGTTACAAAACATCCCAATTCTCAATCACTTACACCACACCCCAATTCACAATCTTATACCACAACGCAATTGACACTCCATTATACCACCCCAATTCACACTCCGTTACACCACACCCCAATTCACACTCCGTTACACCACACCCACATTCACACTGCGTTACACCACACCCACATTCAAGCTTCATGACACTTTGCTAGTCATGTATAATTATTTATTTGCAGTTATATCCGGTAAGAAATGATCGGGTGGCTCTGCTGCAGAGTGAGCGGCTCGCAATTGGAAAGTTTTAAGTTCTAATCCAATTGAGGGATTCATTTGGCTCTTCATCCTTTGAGTGCAGATAAAATGAGTTCCACTTTGTGGGGCAGTCAACAGTTGTCCTATGGAGAGACTCGCCCCACCATAGGAATGTGGAATTACGCCCCCGGCTCAGGGTTGTAAACATGAGATGTGCACCAATGTCTCGGTGTTCATTTAATGAGATTACTCTGTGTTCTCCATGGCAGTGCGTATCTGCTATTTCACGCTTTGCTCCTTGTATGTATTTGTGTATGTGTGTGTCTGCTGTGCAGACAAAAAAGGGTGAGGCGTATGCAGCTGTGTGTGCTGCACTTGAGGCTGGCTACCGGCACCTGGACTGTGCACACGTGTATGTGAATGAAGAGGAGATTGGGAATGGCGTCCAGGGCTCTGGGGTGCCTCGTTCACAAATATTCATCACGAGCAAGGTATGTGTCGAATACAGATGTGGCACATGGTTTTGTCATGCGGTTGCACATGGGCAGTAGAGGGGGGTGGTCGTGCAGTGGTCACGCTCGTGCCTTGCGGCAAGAAGGGCATGGGTTTGATTCCCGACTAGGGCGCCTTTTTACGTGGAGTTTTTTATATTCTCTATTTCTTGGGGTTCATCCAGGTTCTCCTGTTCCATCACATAGCTAAAAAACACATTGTAACTAGTATTGACCCAAATATCCTAATGCTAAAACATAACCTGCAATATACTTAATTGGGTTTGCACAAAGTAACATTGCCTCCTAATGAAAAGCATGGCAGAACCCTCGTTAAAAATAATTATGAGACTTGCTGAGGCTTTTCTGCGTAAACAATTGTGATAATAAAATTTGTGATATGTAGTCAAATTCTACATTTCCATGGCCTGTAGTTGGGGCATATATTTGAATTTAATTATCTTAAACTTGTAGGAGAGACCATTATATATTGTAATAATTGGTATTTTAGTAATTATTATTCATAATTCAGAAGCTACCACGCAGTATTGGAAATCATTAGTGAATTAACATGCCCTCATTAAAGTGCTGTACAATTATCTGTTGTGCATTCTGGGAGATGCATAATTTTAGTGACTCACTATTAGTGGTGCAAACAGAAGTGTATAATGGGCAGCATGAAACCCATGCATCCTGCAGCAGCCCACGTGCAGACACTCAGTTGCACACACCCTCTGACACTCACACACCGTCATACTCACCCACCCTCTTACACTCACCCTCACACAAAAGGCAAAGATACCCCATATAGACTTTAACATACTTGGGGCAAGTGCTAATAGGCCAAGATGGCACAAGGGGGGGGGAGTTGGGTGGCCAGCACCACCCCCGGCCGCCTTTATCTCTCCAGTGTTGATGTTTACACCACACTAGACACTCATTTAAGGCTGAGTCAACCTAGGGAGGCCCAGGACAGGTTTAGATGTTCATCACCGATGTTCACTGTGAGTAGGGATTAAACTCGGGTCACCGATTTCTACCACAGCGTGCTTACCGCTACACTGCTGCCCCCCCACTCACATAGCCCCCTCACGAACACTCTCTCATACTCCGACACATCCAATTACATACAAACACACACTTGTACTCACTGCTATTTCTCCCCTGCAGAAACATCGTAATATAGGAATAGGATGTGTCTCTAATGATGGGTTTTCTCATCATTTACACATTCGAATGATAGAAGTGCCGGTGTGGAGTACATTGTATACCGGCGCATCTCCACCACTCCTGTCCTGTGTATTGGCATCATCACCATTTGTTTAAATTCGTATATAAATAAATTACCTTTTATTAAAGCTTGTTGTGGCGTGGGGTGATGTGCTGTATGGTGCGAGGTAGCTGTGGAGCACGTTCCATCACCCCTCTGCAGTGCGTGCTGCTTGCGACCAGACGCTGGCGGCCCTGAAGACAAACTACCTGGACCTGTACTTGATGCACTGGCCTATGGGTTTCAAGGTGCGTCCACGCAATATGCAGAAGTGCACAGTGACAGCAGATGTGAGCGGTGACATGAACTAGTTACTACTGGCAAAGACTAATTAGAGAATCGATTAAAATTGAGAGAAACAGAAATAACTTTAATCGCTCAGACAGCTACAGGCTTAGTGCGGCCTGGAAGCGTATTATTAAATAAGATACATTACAATTCCTTATAAGGGAAACAAACACTAACTGATTACTAATGTAGCATAATCACAATAAAACACATTCCAAATGATTACTAATCTACAACTCGCATCGTAACAATAGCCTGATTACTAATCTAGTATATAATTACAATAACTCCCCCCCAATCTTTGCACCTGATGAGTTAATGAGTTAATGATGACGTCACCCTGCTGCTGCTCTATATAAGAACGGGAGACACAGCAGAGCCTCACCATTCTGGCGAATTGCCCGATGATGCTGGATACAATTACCAGCGAAACGTCGTACTCAAATTGTAAATGTTGTGGTTTCGCGCTTCAACACACCGGTGGGCTAAAGCAGTGAACTAATTTGTCTTTTGTCAACGTGACACTTTTTTACTGATTGGCCGTGTCGGGTGGTGGAGGGTTACGACACATTTATAAATAATGCGATCTAAACCCAAAAACGTTGATTATGATTATGAATGATCCAGCAGTCATGCGTGTTCACCGCTTGTTGTGTTGCGGTTCGATCCTGGCAGGCCTCTGATTATGGACACTGCCAGTGTCTAAGACTGAACATGTAAAAATAATAGCACAATAAATGTGTACTGAAGGCAAGAGGGAATACGATCATGACCAGGGTGTACAACCTATCACTGGCTTGTTGCAGTAGAGTGAAGTTGGGAGGTCAGAGAAAGGATGTACAGAGGGAGGGGCCTGCTGACACACAGGAAGTCTCATGCTCATTCCAAGTTGCAAGTTTTGTGAACAATTACATTTTTTAGTATAAACCAGGAGTCATTTTCTACCAGCTGGCTCAGCAGCAAGTGAGCAGCTCGCAATAGGAAAATTGCGAGTTCAAATCCAGGTTGGAAGTTGAGTCAACCCCATTATTCTTCACGGGTTGATAAAATAAGCAGCACAGTACTCCCCACAATAGGAATACAAACTTTCCACAGCTGGCTCGGAGATATAAACAGGAGATGAATTTTGGAATAATGATTTACAGACCGTTGACAACCCACCGCTGCATGAAGGCCTCCCTATGCCTCATCTGTCCAGAATGTTTTGTATCATACATCACTGCACTGGTTGGTGTGGATATTGGCAGAGATGGGAGCAGAACCAGTTCAGATATTGCTCACCACTGATCTTAGCTATGCCTTGGCAACACACTCAGATCACCATGGTGAATCCAACAATATTCAGATATATATACAAGTTTAGGTGATACAAAATATAGACAAGAGCAATGTTTTTACACAGTTGCAGAATATAGGCTGAAAAGGTCTAACGTGTCAAGCGGCCATCAAGAAACAAACTGCACGATCAGAGGTGTAATAGATAAGAGTTAATATGGTTATTTAATGGAGCAATGTTATTGCAAGAGCTTTGGAAAAGAGGCAATGGGAGGGAATTTCCAAGTGTAGCAGTGTAAGGGAAGAAGCAGAGCAAGAAGTGTTCTGACCTGCTGTTTGGTGAGTGAGTGGGTGGGTGGGCAAGCGAGTGGGTGGGTGGGCTGGTGGGTGGGTGGGTTAATGTGTGGGGGTATTCTTGTGACTGGGGAGTGGTAGTATTGAGGTTAGCATCCTGGGCTACAATCACGGTGAACAGAGTTCAATCCCACTCGCAGCCCACACAAGTGAGGATTATCTGAACTGGTCCTGAGTCTCCCCTAGGTCGACTTGGCCTCAAATAAGTACCTGGTGCAGTGTGTGAATATAACCACTGGGGGGACAAAGATGGTCGGGCGTTGTGCTGGCCACCCACCCCCTAATTTGCCGTGCCAGCCTTAATAGGTGCTCGCTAGCAGCACTTGTCCCAAACGTCTGTTAAAGGCTATACGGGGTCTTTGTATTGTTGTGACCTGTAGTATGGCGAGCGGGTGAGTGAATTGTTTGTTAGCTGCAGTGTGGTGGCTGAATACAGTTTGGACAAGACGAGTTGAACATGGGTGGAGGAATCTGTGAGTGATGTTCACGGGAACAGTAATAATTAGCAAGATGTTAATTAACAGGAGGTGGATGTTGAAGTTTCGGGAATTTTTGCATTCATATGAGAATAGCTTTAATTTTTATGTTTACTAGAGAGAAAAAAGGGGTATATTACATAGTTTATTCAGGTTAGGGTATTTAACTCTTGCTTACCATGGGAAGCCTCACCGAGTCTCAAGTCTCTTTTTAGGAGCATTTTGCAGTAGGATGCCACACTCCTACCTGTAGTTTGCAGGTAATTATTTAGCATTGGAATGTTTTTGGCCAATATCAGTTACATTGTATGGTCTTAGTTGTGGGAGGAAACCAGATAACCTGGAGGAACAGGGGCCAACATACACACTCCACACAGAAAGGCACCCAAGTCAGGAATTTAACCCGGGTACTTCTTACTGTGGGGCACGAGTGTTACCGCTGCGCCACCCTGCCACCAAATAGGATAAAGCTGTGTAGTATTTGTAGAGTAAAATGACGTGTTGTTTGTGGAAAAGGAGAACTCGCAACTTCCCTGATTTACTTTCTCCAGCCAGGCGAGGACTTGTTCCCATTGGATGAAAATGATAAAGTGATTACTGATGACACGGATTTTCTGGACACTTGGGAGGTACGCTTATTTTTTATAAACACACACACGATGGCAACTGCTGTGGTGTAACTTAGTACAGTGGACTTGCAAGACAGAGGCCACAGGTTTTATTCCATATTCCGGGGGTGGCAGTTCATGCCATAAGGCAAATTTCTCAAATCCTGCCCCCCCCACCAACCAATTTTCTCCACCCAGGAGGAGCATAAATGGGTGGGGTAAAGTGGGTACGCCCACCTCTTCTGACATGTCTAGTCGGCGTGCAAGAGTAGACCAAGTATACCATACAGTTCGCTCTTGTGGAGGCCCTTTATTTAATAGTGACATGAGCAAGCAATTGCAGAGCTGCTTTAAATATCCCATCATGTTCTAATTGAGTAGGTGCCACAGTGGCATGGTCCAGATTTGCGAAAATGAAAAAAATACACCTCAAAATTGGTCAATTGGGATTACACCTAGCAACATTGCCCTCCCACTGGCAGGCCGGTGTAGAGTCACATTATGCAGCACAAGGACAGCTGCCACTGAGGGTGCTGTTTGACGTTTTTAGGTGAAGCTCTTTGAGTTGTTGAGGCATTAAGTGCCACAACATATTTTTATTGCAATCTTGGTTGTTGGCGAGACAGGGAAGTTTTGTAAACTGCTGACCACAACTGCAATGCTTGGCATCAGAAGCATTTTTTGTTAACAAAACCTATGTTCCAATAGTCTAACCATGCTACAATTACAAAAACTCACATTTATCAATTATACTGTGGCCTAAAATAAAACATTATACAGGGTTGCCCAAAAATCAGCACACATACATTTTAACAATGGAATTTTTTTTTATTGATATTTTATCTATTATCTATTTTATTTTTCCTTTTCAGATAACATTGACCAATTGAAATCAAATTTACAGAATTGAGACGAAACAATTGATGACTATTCAAAGATTACACCTGTAATAAAAGCACATCCTAAATTAATCTCAAAGATTGAATTCATGAATGCATTCATCTTAATGTACATCAGTTTGAAGATTTGTTAAAATAAATTAAAAGACCCTTTGTGATCTGTTATAATAAATCAAACATCCCAATGTGTCCTGACTTTGTGGCCACCCTGTATACAATCAGTGACATTTCAAGCAATGGCCCTTCATATTATTTACATGCCATGCCGAAGGGCCATTATTGATTTCTTCCTTTTAAAAATACACCGTGTTATTGACAAATGTGTTTAGGTTTTGCTGCTTGTGTACGACGGCCAACGAAGCATCACCATTTTATTTGTCTAACTGTACTAACTGGCAAGAGCATCTTTGACGTGTGCCTGCTTACAGGCAATGGAAGCACTCGTCGACGCAGGTGTCATTCGAGCTCTGGGTCTCTCTAACTTCAATCGTGACCAAATAATGAAGATTCTGAACAAACCCGGCCTGAAGTACAAGCCTGTGGTCAATCAGGTGCTGTGAATGCAAGCGAACAAAGTGTGTGGATAACTTGGCGTAGACAGTATCTAATGAGGCTAGCCAACATGGTCACTCACCTTCTTATCATTCTTTTTTGCTGCTACCATGGTTACTGTTCCTATAAACTTCACTCTTTGATTCCTTCTCCCCATGTTGAGAACATGGTCTACCAGACTGATTGTTTTGTCTCATCTGCACTGTGTTCAAGCACCACACTGTAGGACATAACAAAGACAAGGATTCTCCGTATAGCCTGTAACAGACTGTAACAGACTGTTGGGGCAAGTGCTGATAGCGAGAACCTGTGAAGGCCGGAACAGTACATGAGGGGGTGGGTGGCCAACACCACGCCCGACCGCCTTTATCTCTCCAGTTACGATGTTTACACATCGCACCAGGTACTCATGTAAGGCCGAGTCGACCTAGGGGAGGCCCATGACTTGTTCAGATAATTGTCACTGGTGTTGGCCGTGAGCGGAAATCGAACTCGGGCCGCCGTGTTCACCCACTCGCCCGCCAATCTTCAGGTCACAACACTTCTCTTTCTGCTTTTTCCTCTCATGCTGCTGCACCTTGGAATTTCCTCTCATTGTCTCTTTTCTCCAAGCTCCTATAACCTTGCTCAAGATGCCCGTTACGCTCTTATCTCTTAGAACTTTGATTATGCTGTTTGTTGCTGGCCACTTGACATTTTGTTCTTGGGTCTATACCTCAGCAACTGTTTAAAAAATAACATGTTTTTAGTTGGGCCCTGACACATTTTTGCAAGGAGGGGGTGAAAATGATCCGGATTTTTCTCTGTGTTCCCCAATTAAGTAATTTGTGGTGTCATTTTTCATGTTTGATCAATTTGGACCATGACGGTACAATATTCCCTTCATCATCTCCATTTATCTGCGAATGTGTACATATCGAGCTCCTTTTGTTACTCCACTGCTGGATGAGTGTCTCCCCCACGCTGTGTGGGTTATGGAGGTTAATTTACCATACTGCGAGTTGGTGAAGGTGGGAGGCATGGATGTGCAAGCATAGATTTGGCTGTACTACCCCCTGCTGCCCACCATTATAACTTATGTGCACGTGTTGGTCACCAATCCGAACACTGCCCAGGCCTGGTTATCTTCGAATATCTGAACGAGATCAGGCAAATTCTCTAATATTTGGTCTGGAAACTCATGGTACGGTGGATCCTCTGAATACTAAGGTAATAGGAAGGCTGATTTGCAGATATAAGGAATAATTAGACATTGGGCAGAGCCTGCAGATATGTGGAGCTACAAATGTTTAGATTTGTATTTAATGAAACAGTTGGATGGTTCCTCTGAATGGAACGTCTTATTTGCAAGGCTGTCCGTAGTGTCGGGTGACCCACACATAGTAAACACGTAATGACACAAGTACACTCACACATGCATATATACTCATGTACAAAAAAAAACAAAGATCCCTCATATAGCCTTAACAGACTGTGGGGGCAAGTGCTGTTAGCGAGCACCTAATAAAGGCCAGCATTGCACATCACACAAGGGGGTGGGTGGCCAACACCACACCTGGCTGCCTTTGTCTGCCTCGTGGTGATGTTTACACATCGCACCAGGTACTCATTTGAGGCTGAGTCGACTGAGGGGAGGCCCAGGACCGGTTCAGAGATAATCGTTACTGGTGTTGGCCATGAGCGGGAATTGAACCTGGGTCGCCAGGTTCATAGCACAGCGTGCTAATCACTACACTACCGCTCCCCACATACTTGTGTACATACACCCTTACACACACAGATACCCACACATAGCAAACACATGACACTAATATACATACACACACACTCGTACACATATACAGGCAGCTCTTACTTAGCACGACTCCGTAGAATGTCAATTCGTTGCCCTTTGTCCTGGAGAAATGTTTACAAAAAAGAAGAAAATCTAAACAGCGGTTGCAAGTGAGAACACGCGGCTGAGGAAACGTACCCACCCCCATCATTGGCTCAGCCAATTCGAGCAGTGGACGCTCTTGAGCCAATGAGACCCCACGCCCCGCTGTTTGATTATCACTATTTGTGTTCACGATTACATAAAAAATATATAGGATCTTTTTTTACCAGTGTTATTACAGTACGTTTAGCCAGGTGAGAACTCACAAGACAAGGATAGACTTTCAAGTTCTACCTAAAATAAACCTCACCACAAAAAATTGTACTCGGGCAATCACTAAGATTTCAGAGGTCCTGGAGCTCTTCTCTGAGAATGTCCGGGGTTGGGAGTGCAGCAGCTCCAACCTCATCTCCCACTGCTAGAATGCACTCGTGAGTACAGTACATAATAGTTACTAATTTTATATAATTATTCTTATTCATTAAACAATGTTTACCATCCGTATTATTAACTGTGACGGTGGGTACCGAATTTGGCATCACGGTACAAAGGAGTCCCCCACGGTGAAGTATGGTGCAGGGTGTTAGCCCATCCAAGGCAGGTACGGGAGCACAAACCAGGGCTGAGATGGATTGAGGGATTTGAGTGCTTTATTTTGGCTCTTACCAAGTCAGGAGAGGTGTGGTTGTGGCAGCCTTTGCCACACCTTCAGAAACAAATATGGGGAATATAATAAAAACCCACACATGCCCGTCCCTACGCAAACTGGTTTGCATGATCAGAATAGCACTCCACTTGTAATATTGGCCAGATAGAATATTCCCGCACACACACCTAGTACCTATGCAAACCTGTCCTCACACACGTCCACGACAGTGAATACCTGACTCTACAGAGAATACTTGGCACAGCAACAATATGAACCAGGCACAGCACAGCACACAATCTTGATTTGAAGCTTTCGTGACTGCAAGAATCCATACTGTTTGGTTCTTTCAGTAAAGTCACGTAGGTAGAAAAATCAAATAAAAATATATATATCACGACGTTTCGATCACAACCCAAGCGATCGTCCTCAGGCAGTAAAAATAATTCAGCAGTAGAACTGCTGAACCAGAAAGAACACAGCGAGAGAGCTGCTACAACAATGGGCTATGTATGTCGGCCAAGGGCAAGCAGGCGGGGTCCGAGCTGGAAAGGAGTCCCATCCCCGCACGCAAGATCATCAGTTTTGTTAATGGGGGAGATTAGGGAAAGAGAGATTAGGGAGAGAGATCAGCATGTCAAAGTAAATGAGCTTCCGTCGCCGCATAAGAGCACCGTCGCCGCATATGCGCACAGCAGCAGTGCTAATGGGAGATTAGCACCATTTTTATGGGAGAGATTAGGGAGATCAGCAAGTTAATGTCATGTATATGTGTAACACAAGCTGTGGCGCTGCCAACTGCACTATGAGAGGCAATCGCATCAACGCAAGAGAACCACCGCTAGCGATGGTCGCGCCAGTGAGACACACAGCCCATCACACAGCCAGAACAATCGAGAGCAGAGGTGGCTATGTTAGTGAGACCCCAGCCCGTCAATGCAGAGGCACCCAACAGGGCAATGCAACTCAGAGTCGGAGATAACAGCCAAACGGCAGGAAGGATGGAAGCACCACAGCAAATTACGACTTTACTTTGTTAATAACGTCCTTCCAATGATTGCTCACTTTATACCCATCTTCTCGGTTGAAATTGTCTCTGTTTATATATCTTGATGGCTTCATGGACAAATATTTGATGGTAGCATAGCACACTGCTACACCATGCACAGACTGCTAGCACACTACTGTATGTATGTAGAACTTCTTTCGCATTGTATGTAGCCGACCGTGCTAATCGGAGGTGGGGGAAGGACAAACTATATAATTTAGATTTAAAAGTGCATAGTTCTGGTGGCTTCCTAATATCAGAAGAGCGTTTCAGACAGCTGCGAAAGTGCATCTGAAAGCGTGCGATGCGGTGACTGTCTTTGTTTGATGGCTAGCCAAAAGCCGCTGCGAGAATGACTGGAGTTCTCATGATGGTTTATGCTCCTTGACAAGATCAGCAAGGTATTGTGGTTCATTTATGGCAAGCACTTTGTGTGTAATGAGTGCTACCTTATGTATTTGTTTGGCAACTGGAAGCTAATGCAGCTCTGCGAGCACAGGACGGACATGGTCGGACTTTGAAATACCCGTCACGACACGTGCCAGAGAATTTTGCACATGCTGCAGCTTGGTAATGTATTTGCCAGACGTCCCGTAGAGTAGGGAGTTGCAATAATCGACATTTGTCGATGCTATGCAACATGCAACCGTGTTGGCTTTGTCATGACTCGATAGTGTTGGAATGTATCGTAGAGCCCTGATATGAAAATTTCCGCCCCTCATTTTATTTTGCACGTGGTGATCAAATTACATTCTGGTCAAGTATGGTGCCGAGGCTCTTTAAACGAGTAGTAAACTGAATCCTGAAATCCACGACTGTCACATCATCCTCCCACCTGATCCCGAGTGGCAACCAACAGAACCTTCGATTTTCCTGGATTAAGCAGCATTTCGTTTTGTGCAAACCACACGAGCACCATTCTTGGAGGTTTCCGAGGTTCTCCATATCTAACTTGCAACTTCACTGTGATGTACAATTGTGTATAATCAACAGTGATAGAACTTGATGTCATCCGATGAGATGACATCGGCGATCGGAGAGTCATATGTTGAAAATAGGAAGGGCCGAAGGACGGACCCCTGTGGTACAACAACTAAGCACAGCATATAGGCAATGTTTGTTACCCAGCTTGATGAACTGTGATCGATCATGTAGGAATGACTCAGTCTATCCCAGTACCGTACCTAACACATCGAACCTTGACCTTAGCCGCCTGATGAGTATCTAATTTTCGATAGTGTCGAAGGTGGCCAAGAGATCGAGGCCAACCAAACTGCAACCCACTGGTAATCCATGATCTTTTAGAAGTCATAATTCATCTTTAGTAGAACCGTCTCAGTGATGTGGAACTTCCGGTACACCAACTGCAATGGGTTGAATCTGCCTGTCGCAGCGACGTGGGGAAGTAACCGTCTCAGAAACAGATGCTGTGACCTTTACTGTCAGGTTTGAGATCGGGAAACTCAGGTTTGAGATTAGGAAATAGTTTGTGTGGTCACTATGGCTTCAGCCAACTTTTTTCATGAGTGGTGTTACCTTCGCCATTTCCAACTGGTCTGGGAAACAGCCCTCGCTAAACAAAAGTTTTGCCAGGTGGACAATCGGCAGCGCAAGCATATCCGAGCATGATTTGAGAATCGACGTATGAATGTAGGCTGAGTCGACCTAGGGGAGGCCCAGGACCGGTTCAGATAATTGTCACTGGTGTTGGTGTGAGCGGAAATCAAATTTCTTCGCCGGGGCACTACTGTAGACTACTGTACACTATCAATATAGGCCACATTACATTATACGATATGTTACAGTAGGGTACAGTACTCAAACATGCACACATAAACATGCACACAAACACATATATAAAAAATATATATAGACACCAAAACACGTATATTATTTAATTAGTACCCTAACACGCTCACAAAACAAAGCCCACACATACAGAGCAAACACAACAACACTAATAAAAAATATATTCTATAACGTATACAGTGTGTGTTTATACAGCAAATATCATACCTGTTGGCCACATTTTGAAAGAGGAAAAAGTAAAAATTAGCATTTTCAGATGGAAGGAGTTTGTCATTTTCCATTGATGTAGATATTTGTTGCTGTGATAGTGGCTCTGGTAACGTTTCAGGCTACCACGAAGGAGAAAGCTATTAATGTTTCCCTGATCTGCGTCTTTGTATGTGTGCACGTGTGCAGATAGAGAGCCATCCTTACTTGACTCAAGACCGGCTGATTGCATTTTGTCGTGAACATGGAATTGAAGTGACGGCATACAGCCCGCTGGGTTCTCCCGATCGTAATTGGTAACTAAACCTCGCACATGACTATTAATGTTCATAACCTACAGCAGACAACACTAGCAGCCTGCACATACAACAACAATGCAGTCGCCCGCAACACCGGGTGGGGATGTGGCCCGTCGGTAGGCCACTCTGGTTAACACTGCGGTGTATTAACCATACAATATCACGCACTGTTCGCTTCGCAGCGGACTTTAGAAATCACGCGATGTCCTTTGAAGCGAGTCGGCCATTGTGTGCCGGCATTGTGGTTTTAATTTGCCAACAAAAATACTCGCAAATTACTGAAATTGGGATTAAACATACCAATCATCACCCCCTTCTGGTAGACTGCTCGCACGCGAGCACTGAGTTACGTTGTACCGCACAGGGACAGCTGTAAAAGGGGACCCCTTTAAATGTTTGAGATGAGATGCGAAGCACTTTGAGTTGCTGTGGCATTTAAGAAAAGAAACTGGCGCGAAGAACATTAGTACCAAACAATAGTGACACTTTCACAGAGCTATTGAAACATGAGCTTGACTCAGTTTACCATCCCTCCGGGGTCGATAAAAGTATCACTTGTGATTTAATTTCAACTGTTATGCGCACAGTATTTGCTGACTCTCCGAACAACTGAGGAGCGTGAGGAACCACAGACAAAGAGGAAGGAAGCCAGATGATGAGCTGCCACCAGTTGTCCAAGCTCTGCAGTCCTTTCTATATTTAAGGTGTTTTCAGCCAATTATTGAGTGTTTACATGTGGGAAGAAACTTGAGAACCTGTAAAAAAACCCTCGTGCGAGGGAACAACATTTTATCCCATACCAGTAGAACAGATGGAGTTTAACATGTAGGCGTTAACGACCAATATTATTCATAAGCGTTTTTTTGGGTTAGATCGCGTGAATATAAATGTAAATATAAATGTTATGATAACACATTTATTCCTCTTAAGACCAAAACTGGAGGATTTATCCACAATTCTGGCTGTCGCTTGATGAGGCTAGTTGTAATTACCAACGAAACGTCGTACTCGAATTGGAAATGCTGTGGGTTTGCTCTTCAACATACTGGTGTGCTGAACTAGGAACTAATTAGCATGTTTTGTTTACATGACAAACCTTACTAATTGGCTGTCGAGTGGTGGCGGGTTTAACGACACATTTATATGTATGCGATCTAACCCATAAAACCTCTATTACGGAGAACAGATGTAGTCCACATTATCTGTACTGACTTCACCTGGCAAGCCAAGGTATGGCACCTCCTCGACGCCCACGAGAAGGGACTTTCACAACAATTGTACGATCCACCAACCCTGGCCTCCACAGTGCTAGATTACAGGCATGCACCACCACTGCGTATGTCTTTCTTATGGATAGACATGTGCCCAACTTAGGAATGTGGACATTCTGCCATGAGCTCAGAACTGGAAACAGAGGATCAACATTGCCTCAATTCTCATTTGAGCAGGAAACCACTTTGATTTGACTGTCATAATAAGATCTCTGAAAATAACATTGCCTCTTATCTAGTCCTGCAGTACCTGTAATATTCCATGCAGCGTAGATTATAGCAATGTTATTGGGGACCATTGTTAGAGTGCACTTGTGTTTGTAATGAGTGTGATAAGCATGTTTCACGCTGACGTCCACACCGTATGTGTTGAGCATGGCTTGCGTACTACAGCTGTGACAAGCGCTGAGTGTCGTGAGATCTCTGCGTTGTCACGCAGGGCCTCTGTGGATGAGCCCAAATTACTGGAAGATCCGTGCGTATGTGCAATTGCATCGGCGCATAAGAAGACACCTGCACAGGTAACAGATTACCGCATACATAAATCCATGCACCACCTCATACGCATACACAGGAGGAGGACCTATGTGTTCCTGCAAGATACATTTGTCAGTTTAACACCTAGGCTTTCGCGACCAATATCCATAATAGAGGTATTTTAGGTTAGATCGTGTAAATATATAAATGTGTCGTTAAAACCCGCCACCATCCGACACAGTCAACATGCCGATTCATCACTAGTACAGCACACTGGTGTGTTGGAAAGCCAAGCCACAACATTTATAATCTGAGTACGATGTTTCGCCAGTAATTGCAACTAGCTTCAGGCGACAGCCAGATCGAATCTGCTGTACTAGTGACGAATTGGCATGTTCTGTTTACGTGACAACTCTTACTAGTTGGCTGTGTCGGGTGGTGGCGGGTTTTAACGACACATTTATATATTTAATCGATTTAACCCAAAAAACCTCTATTATGGAATATACATTTGTGTTTGTTTGAGTGCTGCTGTACATTTACATATTTATGCTTTTTGTTTGCCTTTAAATGACACGGCTGTTTGTTTGGAATAGGTTCTAATCCGATTCCATGTACAAAGAGGAGTGATGGTGATTCCAAAGTCTGTGACAAAGGCGCGCATCCATGAGAACATACAGGTTTGTTGTGATCACAATCAACACATGGACTATGCATTTCCATTGCATACCTCTCCCTTCACATTAAAATGTACTTTTTTTACGCATTCCATCAGCCACACATACGTCCTTCTGGAAGCACATAATTTTAGCAACATCAGTTCAATACACAAACAGTATGGACTGGTTTTGACAATCAGTGTCTCGTCAGCAGTCAGGCTTATCTGAACCAATGATTATTTTATATTAGCGGGAAGTACATTGCGTTGCCCGGGGGAAAAATATATTTCAAAACTTTTCTTAAAAACATAACATATACTTACACAAATACTAAGCTATTGGGAAAGCCGGTGTGCCTCTTTGTCCATTTGTCCGTCAACAAAATTATAAGAGGCTTGCAGAAGTCCTGTAATAAAAAAGTAATAGAAAGTGGCGGGTAAATAGTTGATCTAAAAGGATTCCGAAAATTGAAAATTGTTGACCCCCCTCCCCTCAACTTATTTTTACCCCCCCCCCCAAGGCATATATCTACACACCCTACATACAATAGAGTGAGTAGTATCTAGTAACTCTATAGTAGTATCTGGCTCTACAGTAGTATCTACTGACTGTATAGTCGTATCTATTGACCCTACAGTAGTATCTACTAACTCTACAGTAGTATCTACTGACTCTACAGTAGTATCTGCTGACTCTATAGTAGTATCTGCTGACTCTATCGTAGTATCTGCTCACTCTATAGTAGAATTTGCAGACTTTATAGTAGTATCAACCAACTCTATAGTAGTAAATACTGACTACAGTAGTATCTAATGACTATAGTATTATCTACTGAATCTAGTCGTATCTATTGACTCTATAGTAGCATCCACTCACTATAGTAGTAACTACTAACTCTATAACAGTAACTACTGAATCTATGGTAGTTTCTGCAGACTATAGCAGTATCTGCTGACGCGATAGTCGTATCTACCGACTGCAGCAGTATATACTGACTATAGTGGTATTTACTGACTACTATTATCTCCTGACTCTATAGTAGTATCTACCGACTCTACGGTAGCTAAGCAAGGGCTTAGCGATGGTAGCAAAGTTCTCGACGAAACGGCGGTAATAGGATACAAATCCCACGAATCTGCGGACTTCAGGCACGGACGTGGGTGTTGGCCAATGACGGACGCACGCCGTTTTGTCGGGATTTTTCGCGACCCCCGACACATTAACGAGATGACCCAAGTATTTAACGGAGGAGTGAACCAGATGGCACTTGGAGGGTTTTAACTTGAGCTTGGCGTCACAAATTTTCTAAAACACCTGTCGCAACCGGGTTAAGTGCTCCTCGAATGTGCGAGCGAACAAGATCACATCATCGAGATAGATGAGGCACGACTCCCACTGCAATCCCGCAAGTACCAGCTCCATCAATCGCTGGAAAGTGGCGGGAGCCGTCTGTAAACCCATCGGCAAACAGTTGAAATAAAAGAGACCTTGAGACGTTTTTAAAGCCATTTTCGGCCTGGATTCGGCCAGAATCCCGCCAAAAGGTCCAGTGTGGAGAAAATGTTTGCTCCTGCGAGTACATCTAATGAGCCGTCTATGCGTGGGAGCGGGTAGGCGTCCACCAAGGTAGCTTTGTTCAGCCGCCTGAAGTCTACGCAAAAACGCAAAGACTCATCCGATTTCTTAACCAATACAACTGGCGCCCCCCACGGACTCGTAGATGGCGATATGATGTCTGACTCCATCTCCTGCACTGTCCGCCGCACATGCTCCTTCTCGCTAGGACCCATCCTATAGGCGTTCTGCCGAATGGGTGGCGCATCGCCCTAATCAATGTGGTGCTCCATCAGCGTCGTGCAACCAACATCGTAGGGACCCTGACTGAACACGTCTGCAAAGTCTCTCAACAAAGTCCTGAGCTCTCCCGATTCCCTTGGCAACAGATCGCTATTCTGTGCCAGGAGCGCGGCTATCCATGACATATCCTCTGCGCCGACCGACGGGCCATCCAATTGCACATTGTTGACGGTGTGCGCCTCAAAGTTCGAATGCATGGGACTGACATTTGAAAACAAGGCCCCTTCCTGAATTGTAATGGGTGTGTCAGTCGTGTTGAGGACCTGCATGAACAGTGGCTGATTCCTGTGCACAAGTGTGTCAGCTGCTGCTAGGCAATGACGACCCACCACCAATGGTACTGCGGAGCCGATGAGTGGTGCATCCGACCGGGAAGTGACGAGCGGGGTGCGATATCGGAGCGGCAACAAGGCCTGCGCACCAGGCGGGATCGAGACCGTATTCCTGACCAGCGCCTAAACTCGCGGAAGCTGCTTCGGTTCCCCGTCTGGACGCAAGAAATATAAGCGACCCCCCCCCCACCGATTTCGACGATGCCTTCGTCCTTCAGAATGCAAAGGGGCATATGACTCAACAGGTCCATGCCCAGCAAACAGGGAACCGTGAGCACACTGGAGATCTGTACCGGAGCACGTACCTCCAACTTCCCGATGCGGACCGGCACTACCACTTGGCCCATTATCCCCATACTTCCCCCATTTGCGGCTATGTACCTGGCCTGCACCGGCGCGAGACGACGCTGTCCCTCTGGTAACAAGTCAAAGACACGCAGGGATATGATGCTGGCCGACGCACCCGTGTCGACCAACACGCAGACGCTAACCCCTATCACCGAGCCTACCAACACGGACGTCCTCGCCGTGGCCGCCACCACCCTTCTGGCCAACCGACGCCACTTATTAACCGTGTCCAGCCACGGGCCCGGACCGTCAGCGGGAATCCTAGCTGCCGTACCCGAGGAATGAGATGCGTGATGGGGTGAACCTGGGGTGGATGGTTCCGGCCGGGTGTCCGAAGTGTCAGCACTCGCCTGAGTTGGAACGGCCGCGGACCGAGGCTGACGATTCTGGCTGGTCGTCCCCGGTGCACTCGTCCTGCTGCGGCATCCACGGGCGATGTGTCCCTCCCGACCGCAGTGATGGCAGATGACTTCGTCAGTGACCCGAGGATGATCTCCTACCTCGCGAGGTGCCCAGTGCTGGGGTCGGCGCTCCGCTTCCCGCGGGATCCTCGGGTACTGCCGCAGGGCCGCCACCGTCTCTCCCTCGTCCTCCTCCGCCAGTGGCACGTGTCTGGTTGGGGGCCGTGGCAGCCCCTCGACGTCACCGCGATCCCACGCGATGTGTGCCACACTTTGCGCGGGTCCCACCATCTCTTCGTAAGCGCAGAGATGTCGTGCGACCCATAGCGAGGTGCAGGCTTCCTCCTCCACCACCGGCAGCATCACTCCCGCCTTCTGTGCCATGTCAAGGAACCACTCCGCCACCAGCGAGTCCAGGCCATGAAGTCAGGTGTTTTATGATGTAGTTTTGTGGAAGAATCACTTCCATTAATACAGTGCTACAGTGAACTGCAGTGAAGTGTTTGATGACATACTTTTGGTGCAAGATTCACTGCCATTAAATTAACACAAGATACAATTATACTCCGCTCAATTTTTTCGTAAATATTACAGCTTCCTTCCTAGGATGGGCAAACAAGCTAGTAGTATATATTAACTTTATAATAGTACTAACTTCACATAGTGTAGTGGTGAAGGCCTAGTCCCGTGCAGAGCCCCCAGCCTCGCCTAGATTGCCCAGCCAGCCGAGGTGGCACCTTGGCAGGCTGGGGCTGGGCCGCTACTCCCCCCCACCATCCCCCCGCCCGCTCTACAGTAGTATCTACTGACTATAGTAGTAGCATCTACCGACTCGATAGTAGTAACTGCACACATTGGGATGGGGAGAAGAGGACATCACACTGTAAATCATTTACCTCAGCGTTGTGTGTATTTTTTTTGCATTTTTTACGCGAATGAAAATTCCCCCCTCCCCCCACCGATCGCATGTGTGCATTGCTAGGGGCAACCACGGCTCAGGTTTCTCGCACATGCGCAGATGCGTGCTTTGGCGCACGCTCACCGTAGTAATATAATAATAATAAATAGTACTAAGTTGTTAATTTAACTACTTTAAAGTTGACGGATGGGAAATATGAATAGCGCTGGCTCACCGCCGAGCTTATCGCATGGTATCTGGGTACTTTTTTTAAAACGTAAACCTCACGATTTGTGAATTAAATCTGTCGCAAGTTTCGTCCATACACAGACACGCAGACACACAGACAAAAAAACTTATTTTGGTAAGATGGCTGATGTAGATGCAGAGCAACAACTACAATTTCACATTCAGGTGGTCAAGCCAGGCAACCGCGTCAAAAGCAGCGGAGTGTATCGCTGTAATGTCTCCTTTGTATTTGTGGATCAGGCATTGCGTCATTATATGTTGTACTGGATGACCACAGTCACACACTGAAGAGTTTTTAATTTTCTAATTGTGCATCAGGTATCAGCATCTGAAATGATTTGTGCAGATGCGATTTATGGTGGATCATGAGCTTCATGGAAAATCAAACCCAGGGGTCTTCTGCATTGGATCTTTCACAAGATGTTTGCTTGTGAGTTAATTTGAACTCCATTCATCTTTACAAGCTTCATTGGGGTTGAATTTGCATTTCCTAAGGTTAAGTGAATGGATTTAAAAGGGCTTGTGTGACTTCAAGTGATGAGGGATGATATTGAGGTCCTAATGAATGGATAGGTGACCATTTTCCTCAATTCATAGGACTTCGAGGTTTTCAGCGTTGCGGCGGATGAGTGGGGGAGAGATGTGCGACAGCACGGGCAGCCCAGGGTGTTGGGATTGACTTGAGGGTTAAGTTGGACATTACCACATCGAGTGTGACTACTTCTGGTCCATACTGGTGCACAGTATTCAACTACAGAGTACACAAAGGCCATCTTTGATATCTATAACACTGGTGCTGATGCTGACTAGCTTATGCTTGCAAGTTTCTGGACCAGGTTGACCCTTGTTTTGGTCTGGGTGACTAACTTTTCAGGTGGTTATGGAAGATTAGTATACGATCCAGCTTCACTCCAAAATAGGTTGGAGTGGGGTCATGTCGAACAGTGTTGCTGCAGAAGGTTACTTTCAGAGTGTGCTTGGTGCTCATTGAAAGTGGCTGCTTGCGTTGCCAGGGCAAGGTCTTCTGCATATACAATTTGCGTGACCCGGTTGGCGGCTTGTCACTTGTGAAGACATTGACGAGCGTTTGCTCGAGTATTAAACCTTATGACAATGCATTGTTGAGGAACCGGGGTGAGCTGGCTTTGTCGCCCTTATTATAGACATGCTTATCATTGTCGATATCAAGTGTATTGTTTTGAGGTAAGGAATGATCCTTGCGAGCTTCAACATCAAGCCCTTAATCCAGACTGCGCCGGTCTTGGATATTTACTGGAATCCGGCCACAATGTGCGTCGCAAGGGCCAAAACCTGGTTACAGCAGCTGCTCCCAGGCCAGAATCCCGCTTGTTCTTTAAGGATTCTCTGGAGGATGATGCGTTCCAGGAGCTTATAGGTCATGCACAGGAGTCACATTGGCCTATAGCTTCCCGGGTTATCGGATGGCTTGCCCGGTTTTGGTATTACAATGAACATCACCTCTTGCCATGCTTTTGGGATGCATCTGGTTTTCCTGTACAGGTGTGGCAGCCATTGAAGTCCCCTAGGGCCCAAGTGATGGAGGGATTGTGGGGTGATACCATTTCTGCCAGCAGCCTTGCTGTACTTCATTTAAGCCAGACCCTCCCTCACTTCCTCTCTGCTGATGGCAGTAGGGTCTTTGTGAAGAAATTGAGGCAATTGTCTTTTGTAATTGGCGATGGATCTCTTGTTTGATGTTTTTGTCGAGTGGTCCTTTTATGTTCTCCACTAATTTGGAGGCTATAGAGTTGGGCAGGATTCTTGCGGTCTGGTATTCTGTTTGGTTAGCAGCACCTAGGTGTCATAGTAGGGCCCGGGCACAGCGGCTGGAGTGTGTCAAGTCCAGGCCTTTAACGCACTCAGTCTACCGCTGATGTCTGGCTGAGTCTAAAGACTCTAGCAGGGCCTTCCAAACCTGTGGGCTGTTCGACTGGTTGTACTGTTGGAGCAGGTCCTTGAGTCTCTTTTATCCAGCATGGAGTGGATTCTTTCCAGAAGCCTCAGGAGATGCTCTTCTTGGCAGCTGCAGTAAGGATGCCAACAAAACGGTGATAACATTCTGGTCTTGAGGAATTCGACTCGCCACTCTTTCTACAGGTTTCTTATATCTTGACTTAATGCTTTTGTGACTGCAGGAATTCATACTCTTTGGGTCTTTCGGTAAAGTCACGTAGTCGTGAGGTATATCAGGCTCTCTGATCTTACATTTACATGCAAATTCCATCTCTAGCCCCGCCCACTTACCCTTGGGTTTCACTCATCTCAAACCTATATAACCTCTTGCTACAGCAACTCTCCTACTATATTTCTCCTGCCTCAGCAGTTCGCCTGCTGTATTTTTTCACCTGAAGACGATTGCTTGTGTTGCGATCGAAACGTGATTTTTTTTTTCTATCTATGTGACTTTACCAAAAGACCCAAAGAGTATAAAGTTCCTTATAGTGGTCCCAGTCAGCTTTGGCCAGGTTCTACCTTGGTAATAATTTTTACAGAATCACGGGGATTTAAATGTCGATGTGGGGCCTATGTTGACTTTTGGGGAAGCTTCGGAGTATTTTGCGGGATGCGTGAAGTGTGCTTCCGCTTTGATCTTTGGAAATGATGGTGAGGTTTGGGTTATGGTCGTGTTGCCAGCAAGCAGCGTGAAAAGTTGCTTGCTGCTTGGGATTCGAAAACCAGGTGGCTGTTAAAGTCACCAACATTATAGGGCTGGAATCGGTGCACTTGGGAGCGCTACTTTTGTCCATTTTTAATTAGAGGCTTTGGACACGTTGGTGATGGCATAGGTGGCTTCTGTTTCAGTTGGTAGGAAGGCTTATAACTGATGGTGTTCTTCATGGATACGGCCAAGCCATTTTTTGGGTGGTAATGGCTCGTCGTGAGGTTGTTGTATCCATGGATGTGGTAGCGACTGGCATGTAGGGCATCCAAGCCATGGGTTTCTTGGAGCGTCAGGACATCAATGTTATGGGTTTTCATTATGATCGAGAGATACTCGCACTTCACTGGGGAGAGTCCTTCAATGTTCAGTTGGAGAATCCTTGTCCCAGGGCCTATCTGGTGTGGTATTTGATCCTGAAGAGGGCCGTTGGCGTTGCTTGTATTGTTTTCTCTGAAGACCGGGAGATTGATGATCGACGTTTGTCGTGATTTCTCACTAAACAGAGTATGAAGGCTGCCATCTTCCACTCCAGAACAAATGCTATGAACTGCCAAATGTTTATAGGCAAGGATCCCTCTCTGTTCAATACCAGTCTCAGTGTGATGTAATTTTCTATAATATATAACAAAAATAATCATTGAGTATTATTTCGATTCCACAGTGATACTGTTTTGTGTTTTAGATGTTAACATTTTCATGATCAGCATTTTTTATGCTTGTTTACCAAGAGGAGTCTCAATACTTTTTCAGGAAGTCCAGCCAAGTTTTTCAGTAGGGGGAAATGTTGCTTTGTGGAATCGAAGTTGAGTAATTTATGGAGTGATTTTTTTTGTCATTTTTCAGCATTGGGATGTTTGGCCAATACTGGTTACATGGCATGTTTTAGCTGTGGCAGGAAACTGGAGAACTCGGAGGCAACTCACACAGAACAGGGGCGAACGTACAAACTCCACCCAAAAGGGGTACTTGAATCAGGAATCAAACTGAGGCCTTCCTTGCTGTGGAGGTGCCACCCTGTTGCCCAGTAAATGTACTGATTATGTTAATCGAGATGCAATATTGCTGTTTATGTTTTTAAGAGTGTTCCCATCAGATCTTATGCACTTCAAACACATTTCTGCGGAGGGAGCTGGTAGGAACGCAAATATGGCCGACTGTGAGGGTGGGCACAAACCGGCGTGAGTAGGTTAAACGTTGAGTTTTATAAGGACACCACGGGGTGACCAGCCCCTCCCCACCCAGCTCCACCCCTCCCACCCCCCACCCAGCCCCACCCTCCCCACCCAGCCCCTCCCCACCCAGCCCCTCCCCACCCTCCCCACCCAGCCCCTCCCCACCCAGCCCCACCCCTCCCATTTTTGGATGCACGACGGACGGACACAATAATCTCCTGTGGGCTGGTGTAACCAGGAGGTTCCTACCAGTAAAAGTAGACTTGCTTCCAAAATGCATATTGAAATAACTATAAACAATGTGTATTTGGAGTCTGTGAGGTGAAATACATCATACTTGCACTATATTTGGGAGGCAGTTTGCTGATATTTGAAATGTATTCCATTGTACATCAGAAATGTATTCCATTGTACAGTCACAAAGCCCACTATTCTTCTGACAATCAGAGGCTCTTGGTAGGGTTATACGCTAATATGCAGTTGATATCCATGTCCGCAGGTGTTTGATTTTGAGCTGACTGCAGATGACATGAAATCCTTGACTTCCCTCAACAAGAACTGGAGGGCCTGCCCAATGCAATGGTAACTTTGGGAAACATCACACCGTGGCACCATCAATCTTGCCACCATCATACGATCACACCCTGCCACCATGGCACCAATGTTCTGCCAAGCTGACGGGTGTCATTTGGCCTGAAGGACGCTTGGTGTTCGCCGTGTGCACACTCTCATCTCCTCTGCTTGCCAGCATTTGAGTTATTTGGGGGGGTGACGCAGCCCAGCGGTAGCGCATTTTCCTCTTGTTGTGTAGGTTCACAGTGTGATTCCAGCTGTTGCCATGATTAATATTGCGGGTGTATTAACTTTATAAATATGCACCATCTCCACAGTGGATGTAAAAAAATCATGTGATGTCATTCGCAAGATCCATTTTATGTCAAGGTCATGGTTAAAATTTAACAAATCACCTGCAAAATTACTCTATTGGAAGTTATAGCAAAATCTTGCTAGGGCCCTCCTGAAAAAGAGTCAAGAGATTCGGTGAGACTTTCTTGTGGGCACAAATGTAATAATACCAATGTGAGGATTCTCTGGCCTTCATACAATGTCTACATGCCACCACTGAGAATGCAAGGTCAATACAATCCAACGTATACCATGCTGAAGCATGGGTACCGACTGCTTTTCCATTCACACATTTATCATGAACACCACACTGCAGGTCACAACACTTGTCTTTTCCATTGCACTGCTCCAATTTGGCATTCTGTCCCATTTCTTTTTTCAAGCTCCTGTCACCTTGTTTAAGAACCATGTTAACTATTATATATTACAACATTGATCGTGCTGTTTGTTGTTTATTGCTTGAAATTTTGGGCATTTCACCCTGTGCTCAGCAACTGTGTAACAATATTTTTTTTATTTTTGTGTGAATTGCCTTATCGTGTCGTGTTGTGTGTACTTTTGACAGGGCTGTGGACCACAAAGACTACCCATTCAACACTGACTTCTGAACCAAGTTTCAATATTATATTCTCTCAGCTTCCTGCATGGGTATTTTTTTCTGATAGAATACATAGTTTGCACTTATTCAACACACCAACGTGAATTAATACATTAACACCTCACAGAAATAAACAAATAGATGCTTTTTGAAAAAGATGGTCAACTAAGCCCAAAAATACCTCAAATGGCAGTTTTCAACAAACTAAGCAGACAATTCACATCCCACCCACATCTGTCCCTCCACCTACAAATATAAAAGTACTTTTTACGCACCCCATTCGCCACAGTCTTCGAAGAGTGCATATTTCCAGCAATGGTTCAATACATACGAACTCTGGACCAGTGTCGACATTCATCTTCTCATCAGTAGAGTCAGGCTTGCTTAGACAAATGCTGAATTGCCAAATTAGTTTTTTCAGTTTCATTTATTTGGTATAGTCCCGTGAGCCATTCGGCTCTTGAATCGTGTGCAACCGCAACAAACAAAAAACAAAAACATGAACAAGAAAACATCTTAAAGTGACTATGTGCAAACAGAAAATCCAAGAAAAGACAGCAAAATATTGCAGAAAAAGCACCATACATCAACGCTGTGTGCAAAAATCCCAGTGGGATGCAAGTCAAACAACAACAACCACAAGATTAAGGCCATCAGTCTAACTCCGTACTACAACAAACAAACATGGCCAAACCAAAAAACTTTTCAAAATCACCAAATTAAACCCTCCGTTTGATGTTATGGGTCCTCCTAGTTCGACACAAAACTATAAAATACACAGCACCACGCCTCCACAATTATATTTCCAAGATCGACAAAAACAAATCGCATAACTTGCAAGAAGAAAGCGACCAATCTTAAAAGCCACCATGATGTGCACGTGTAATCGACCAGGGTCACCAGTCACCACTCCATCGAAACTGTTTACATCACTTCTAGATTTGAAGCTTTCGTGACTGCAATGATTCATATTCTTAGGTTTTTTCGGTAAAGTCACGTAGGTAAAAACATTAAAAGTAAAATAAAATAAAAATCACGACGTTTCAGAGGCAACACAAGCTTCCGTCTTCAGGTGGTACCGTCACAGCCTTGATACTTGATACAGCTGTCGTGGCTGTGACGGTACCACCTGAAGACGGAAGCTTGTGTTGCCTCCGAAACGTCGTGATTTTTATTTTATTTTACTTTTTAATGTTTTTACCTACGTGACTTTACCGAAAAAACCTAAGAATATGTTTACATCACATTGCGCATGCTATACCTTAAGTTACTCTTTAGTTGTAGAATTAAACGGCAGTAAAACATCTACCGTATGTCTGTCCACCAGCAGATGAGTGATGGAGAAGTGTGAGGAGCTTGGATTATTTGGAAGTGCACAATAAGATAACACGTGTTGGTGTTAACTGGGCGCTGTATGTGTCGGAATGCTAGCGATGTGTTGCCGAGATTCATTACTAAACATGCATATTTGTGTTTTTGCTGGTTGTTATGTTTAGCAAAACTTTCAATAAAGTGTAATTGAAAAGACTGCGAATGAGTAATTATGTGTACGGTAGAGATTGTGAAAAATGGCAGCTGTTACAACCAGAGAACTGTACATCCTATATGGACGTGGTGTGCACCATTACATTAGTATGTAGAGTACAACTTCGGTTATCAGTGGCCTGGTTATCTGGGGTTTTCGTTTATCTCGGTTGACGGAGCACGGATCACTCTTCCAGCCATCGCTCAAATCCAGTTCGCGGGGTTTTTCCCGTTGACACCGGATTGGCTTCCCTCGTACGGAGACGAGAGCCATCACACCGGTGGCCCGTCTCATTCCAGAGCCTGGGGGTGGGGGGGGAGGTTCGGTTTGCGCTGCCGCACGACTGCACCGCGACCTGCAGGGGGCGGCGGCGCGCAGCAGGGCACGGAGCCGTGCTCGCCTGTTGATGTTCACTGTCGGGAGAGGAAGGGGGGTGCTGGACAGTACTCCAGAGAGGTGTCGAGGGAGAGGCCGTGGCCGCCGTGCATGGACTTCTCCGAGAGCTACGAGGCGACGCTCTGCTCCGCCTCCGTCGCTTCCCGCGCCGGGGACTCGCGGCTCCTCTCGCGGCTGCTGCGCCGAGGCCGCCCCGCGGACGCCGCCGACAACCGCGGCTGGAGGCCGCTGCACCACGCGGCCCACGGCGGCCACGACCGCTGCGTGCGGCTCCTGCTGCGGGCGGGTGAGGAGGGGGCCGGGGGGCCACGGAGCCCCCCACAAGGGGGCCACGGAGCCCCCACAAGGGGTCCGACACGCGGCTCTCAAGGGGACTCGCTCTTGGCTCGGGTTACCACCCGTTCCGGGTTAACCGGGGACTTGGCGTGTTATGTGTTTGGGTGTCGGGGGGTATTTGGATTCCGGTGCTGCTGTGGATCAGGCAGTGGTCGGGGGGGGGGGCACCGCCTCTGTCCACCGCAGCACCACAGTCAGTCACACGTGGGTTCACCAGTCACACGTGGGTTCACCAGGTACACGTGAGTTCACCAGTCACGTGAGTTCACCAGTCACACGTGGGTTCACCAGTCACACGTGGGTTCACCAGGTACACGTGAGTTCACCAGTCACGTGAGTTCACCAGTCACACGTGGGTTCACCAGGTACACGTGAGTTCACCAGGTACACGTGGGTTCACCAGTCACACGTGGGTTCACCAGGTACACGTGAGTTCACCAGGTACACGTGGGTTCACCAGGTACACGTGAGTTCACCAGTCACACGTGGGTTCACCAGGTACACGTGAGTTCACCAGTCACACGTGGGTTCACCAGTCACACGTGGGTTCACCAGGTACACGTGGGTTCACCAGTCACACGTGGGTTCACCAGGTACACGTGGGTTCACCAGGTACACGTGGGTTCACCAGTCACACGTGGGTTCACCAGTCACACGTGGGTTCACCAGGTACACGTGAGTTCACCAGTCACACGTGGGTTCACCAGTCACACGTGGGTTCACCAGGTACACGTGAGTTCACCAGTCACACGTGGGTTCACCAGGTACACGTGAGTTCACCAGGTACACGTGGGTTCACCAGGTACACGTGAGTTCACCAGTCACACGTGGGTTCACCAGGTACACGTGAGTTCACCAGGTACACGTGGGTTCACCAGGTACACGTGAGTTAACCAGTCACACGTGGGTTCACCAGGTACACGTGAGTTCACCAGTCACACGTGGGTTCACCAGTCACACGTGGGTTCACCAGGTACACGTGAGTTCACCAGTCACACGTGGGTTCACCAGTCACACGTGGGTTCAGTCACACGTGGGTTCACCAGGTACACGTGAGTTCACCAGTCACACCTGGGTTCACCAGGTACACGTGGGTTCACCAGGTACACGTGGGTTCACCAGTCACGTGGGTTCACCAGTAACACGTGGGTTCACCAGGTACACGTGGGTTCACCAGTCACGTGAGTTCACCAGTCACACGTGGGTTCACCAGTCACACGTGGGTTCACCAGGTACACGTGGGTTCACCAGTCACACGTGGGTTCACTACAGTAGATGACCGATTGTTCGCGTGTTGTGGGGTTGAGTACGACTCACACATTTGATTAGTAACTAGTGTGGTGGTGGTACCGTGTTTGTTATTCACGGCTGGCTCTGTGGCTGGGGAGCTACGGTGGCTATGAGATGTTAACTACCTCGCCTGGTGTACAGGAGGTCGTGGGTTCCATCACGACCCTGACGCCTGCTGCTGTGTATTTGGTGCTTGCGTGTCTCTCTCCCCGTGGTTGTGTGGATTTTTCTCCAGGTCCTCTGGGTTTTCCCTCCGTATTTAGAATCGACTTGCTTCTAAAGCTATCATTTGTGGCCAGGTCGCTTCTAAAAAAGAGCTACATAGCTCAGTAGGCCTTACCTGGTCAAATACTTCGTTTTAAATAGCGGGTGGTCGAGGGACCCACACGCACATGGTATATCGCACGGCCGAGCACGTCCAGTACAAATGAAGACTAAATATGGCTATCAATTTTGTTACGTCAATATTTTCTATATGAAAATATAAAACATGTTTAAATATATAAACACTATAAACAACAAAACATGTGTAATCTATGTGTATGTGTAATACCGTTAACGACTCTTGACGCCGGAGTTGGAGGCACACGGGTTTATTTCACAGCACAACAGTGGGCATATAACACTCGGGGTATCGGCCCCCTCACCCGGCTAGCTGGAAAATACACACGCTAGCTACCCTAGCCTGCCTCTTAGTCCTCCTTCTAACGGGCTAGGGGAGGCTATCTGGCCCGACACTGGTAAGTCGGGCCCGGTACCCGGAGTCCCAGACCTGCTCTGACAAGAGCACCGGCTCTGGCTCTCGGAACCACGCCGCTGGCTCGATCCTGTTCGGCCCTGATAAGGACGTCGAACTAGGGGAGTCCAGGGCTTCTAGCTAAGATGTCTTCAGTCTTCTCGTTAGCTTAACATTTTCTCCTCGAGCCCTCTGACACATCCCCTTTTATACTCAACCCCCGCTGAGGGGTGGGGCCCCGGGCTGCCTGGCGCGGACGTCGTTGAGAGCACCCCCCCCCCCCCCGTGCACTCACGTAGCCCCGCCCACTGTGTTTGTTTCCCATAAGCTGCCATGCATAACGGCTCTCTCTCTCTAACACCCCTACATATGTATAAGCTGCCGCTAATGGGCGAATGTGGCAATGTAGCGTATTCTCCCATAATGTACTTGATCTGAACGTGGATGTATTTTTGCATATGGTCCAATTATCTAACCTATAATTTTGATATATGTTACCATTAACACATTTGCTTAAAAGAGTTGATACATTCACTCTCCATCACGACCTCCTCTTGTATTCGTCCCGGATATACTAAAGACAAAGACCCCCCGCATAACCTTAACAGACTGTTGGGGCAAGTGCTATTAGCGAGCACCAATGAAGGCCAGCACGGCACAAGGAGGGGATGAGTGGCCAGAACCACAGCCGGCCGTCTTTGTCTCCGTAGTGGCGATGTTTTCTACACACCACACTAGGTACTCGTTTAAGGCTGAGTTGACCTAGGGGAGGCCCAGGACCGATTCTGATCATTGTCACCGGTGTTGGTCTTCGAGCAGGAATGGAACTCGGGTGGCAATGTTACACGACCACTCCCCATACCCAGCCACATGTTTACTCAATTCTGTATTGCACGGGCATCGGGCCACATGTGCCGGCTACGGAATCTCGTCCCGCCGTGCTGCTGGGAAAGGCGGTGGCTCCGACTCCAGAATCTCGACTTGCCGCGTGGCAAGGGGAGGTGGTGGCTCCAGCCCGGGGATATCGGCTCGCCGCCTTGTGGGGAATAGCGGCTGCCTCTGTTCGGCTCTTCGGACTGTGGGAATCAGCGGCTGCTCAGGTCGCGCAGCGTCGGTTCTTTCCCTCTCCTCGATGATCTTCGTGGAGTTGCTTCCAGCCGTCCTGGGAGCTCTCCTGGTTTGGCGGTATTTTTCCGGTCTGCGGCGGGGCCTCCGCCTCCTTTGTGAACGGAGCCACCAGTCGATTCCGGCTCCCGCTGGTCTCCAGGTCTCAATAACCCAGGGCACTTAGGGATGACGCCTCTTCTTCCACTTGAGCTCCCACCACTACCACCAGTGTAGATAAGCTCCTTGGAGACGTCCATTCTTAAAAAGGTGAAGTCTTTATTTCTAAAGAATAATGTATTTACAATATAGTTTTTTTTGGGTTAGATCGCATAAATATAAATGTGTCGTTAAACGCGCCACCACCTGACACAGCCAATTAATAAGGTTTGTCACGTAAACAGAACATGCCAATTCGTTACTAGTACAGCACACCGGTGTGTTGGAGAGTAAATCCACAACATTTACAATCCGAGTACAACGTTTCGCCAGTAATTACAACTAGCATCATCAGGCGGACACCTGTCCACCTGATGATGCTGTTATGGATGATATTGGTCACAAAAGCCTACGTGTTTAACGTTTTTACAATTCCGCGATTAGTCAGCCCCGATAGTTTCAACCTCGTCGCTCCGCGATCATAAAGCCCCGATGTCTTCCACCTCGTAGCTCATTGGTCCCTGGGCAAGCGCCCAGACTGCGGCCCTCGCTCCACCTATATAACCTTTCGGCCCGGCCCTTTCGGACAGTACCCTCGACCCCACGATAGCACGTTTCTTCAATTATTATCTCAACGTTCCCAATCGTCTCAACGTATATTATTTATTTAATAATCTATACAGTACCTTGCGGTCACCTGTTCTTAATTATCTGAACGTGTACCCTCTAACACTTTCTCCTTTCAGTCCCCTAAACTTTATTGAATGTAGCAAATAATTGTAAGCAATCTTCAAACGTAATAACAAATGTCTGTTGTGACAGACATCAGCATTTATCACGTGAACACATAGCATGATAAATATATCGCCTTGCTGTCCAACATTGCAAGTCAGCGCTACATCTGTATTCTGAATGTTCTCTGCATGTGTTTAAACCTTTGGCTTCCACCCCATTGTTCATATTTACAGGACATCATCCTATCAAGGAAGTTTCACTTTAGTACAATTACTATTTCCTGTATAAGTTAAATATTGATTGACTGGTCAAGTGACTCCATCACTCCGTAAAAAACAATGTGAGCTTCTGAAGTCAATTCGTTATGATTTATTATGGTTGGGAGTTGGCGTAGCCCATCATCCCTCCCCTGAGGGGTTGTTGACTAAACGAGCACCAATTTGTGAGATCAACAGTGTCTGTACTATAGATAGACTCGCCATAGAACTGTGGAATGTCCACCAGCTCCTGAAGCGGATGATGTGAACGCGGCCACGTTCGAAGGGAAGACGCCGCTGTTCCTGGCGGCAGCTGCCGGTCATTTGGGTAGCGTCGATCTGCTGCTACGAGCCGGAGCGGAGCCCAGCCGTGCCTCCAGCGAAGAGGAGACGCCCGTGTTTGCAGGTGATCAGAGAGATAGATCACAGTAATTTTATGATAAACCAGTCATAAAAATATGTTAAGCTGATCCTATGGGTCCCGTAGTAACATGCATGTAAGTCACGTAGATAGAACAATTAAATAATAAAAATAAAGTGACTAAAAAAGAATAAAAATATCACGACGTTTCGGTCGCAACACAAGCAATCATCAGCAGATCGATTGCTTGTGTTGCATCGATTGCTTGTGTTTCTATCGAAACGTCGTGATATTTTTTTCTTCACTTTTTTTTCATTTTTATTATTTTATTGTTCTATCTACGTGACATTACCGAAAGACCCAAAGAATATGAATTCCTGCAGTCACGAAAGCTTTAAGTCAAGTGCTAAGAGAATGTTATGGATCTGACATTCAGGTTCAAAAGTTTGTAAATTCTGATTCATGGGTCCCAACTCCCACCCATTACGCTTTCTTCTTACATCACACACTCAATACGATTTGCCTTCCTGTTATATTATCCTGCACCATTATGTGGAATGGATAATCTTACAATTCTTAAAGATAGAGTTATTCTCCATAAGGGGATTACAAAACCCTGGCCCATAAGAAGCACCAATGGGCATGGTTTGTTCGATACAAATCTTGTCTGTTAAATAACTTTTTTCTTTTAAGAATCAATTGACTAGAATTGAAGTTTCCCTTGGACTTGACGCAAATAGTACTGTAGTTGCCAATATAATTTGCCCACATCTTTTCTAACATGTAATATTTTAATTATAAATGTTGTTTGTCGAGCTCCAGGGCCTGACGACCAGGATTTGTGCCATTCCTGAATCCCTAAGGGATTTACGGAAGGGTAATGCGTACATTTCCATAAAATCATCTGCTTCGTCAGGGCCAGCATTAAGTCCACTTGCGTCCACACGTGCGCTTCTACAAATATGAAGTACCGGTGAGGACGCTTGACACCGAGGTTGAGGCACACGTGTATTTATTTTACAAGTCGTCACGACAGGACAGCACTAGAGGGGGTATCGGCCCCCTCACCCGTATAACTGGGGGATACACTACTAGCTATCCCTGACCTACCCCGAGTCCTCCACTAACGGGCTAGGGGAGGCTGTCTGGCCCGACACTGGTGAGTCGGGCTACGGTACCCGGAATCCCAGAGTGCTGACTCTTGTTCACGGGACCACGCCGCTGGCTCGGTCCTGCGCGGCCCTGACAAGGGCGGCGTCTCAGGGGAGTCCAGGGCTCTAGCTACCCGGGTCTTCAGTCTTCCCTTCTTCGTTCTAATACTGAGCCCCGAGCTCTCTCTGTCATCCCCTTTTATACCCCCCTCCCGGATCACAACCGCCGGGCAGCCCGATGCGGACGTTGTTGCGGGCACCCCCCCCCCCCGTTTACTCCCGGAGCTCCGCCCACTGTGTTTGTTCGCCGTTTGCTCCTATGTACAAACAGCCCCTTTATAACAGCCCTACAAATACAAGCACGCACAGATACACATCCACGTGCAGATACACATAATCACAAATACCCACCAACACACACTCACAAACACTTAAAACACAAAGACACGTACACAATTACATACAAATGCTCCCCCCCTCACAGACACGCACTGTCTGTCGCAAATAGACAAACATCTCCCATATAGCCTTTTCACAGACTGTTTACGAGCACTTAATCAGCCCGAAGAGCACACAACAGATACACACACACACACAAAACACACATTTTCGGGACCCTTTTTGCCAGTATCAAGATGATAAAAAAATAGGCTTTATCCTATTTTGGCACGAATTACTGGGTTTAAGATGTTTAAATACCAAATAGATACCTATCACAAGGCATCCAGTCTGCACTGTGGTAAAACATGCAACCAAACATGCGTTGATAATGTATACATTCTTGATTTGAAGCTTTCGTGACTGCAGGAACCCATACTCTTTGGTTCTTTCAGTAAAGTCACGTAGGTATAAAATAAAATAAATCACGACATTTCCGGCGCAACACAAGCATCCGGCCTACACCAGAGACCAGCCTCCTTTATGGCCTTGTCTCACCAGTGATAGACCAGAGAATACCAAAAGACAAACGGCACAAAGGCAATGCAAATTCGCTTTATGCGGCAATTTTCAGAAACGCAACCCCCACCTTAAACGGGGACTTGCTGCATTTTTTTTTTTTACACAGTTGCTGAGCACAGGCCCAAATGCTTGAAACATTACGCAACCAGGAACAAACAGCACTGTCCAAGTTTTAATAGATTAGCGAGGTTACAAGAGTGTGAGGAAAGGAGATGTTGGGAGAGAATTCCAAAGTGGACCAATGCGAGGGAAGAAGCAGAAAAGAAGTGTTGTGACCTGCAGTGTGGTGAGTGAGTGGGTGAGTGAGTTGTTCTGACCTGCAGTGTGGTGAGTGAGTGGGTGAGTGAGTTGTTGTGACCTGCACTGTGGTGAGTGAGTGGGTGAGTCAGTTGTTGTGACCTGCAGTGAGTGAGTGGTGAGTGGTTAAGTGATTTGTTGTGATGTGGTGGTTGAACACTAAAGGAGATGAGGTATTAAGGAGATTCTGTGACAATTTAGCAGGTAAAGCAGTCAATACACCTGCTTAAGCATGGCATATATGGGACTGATTGGACCTCACATTCTCAGTAGTAGAATGTAAGTAAACATTAAAGCAATAGCAACTGTTTGACTATATGAGCGATGGAGAGGCCACACATGTTGACATGTAGAGAGAAAATGAAAGTGGGAATATACTGAGTACCTGTCGTGGTGGTTGATTTGCAGTAGATGAGACAAAACTGTGGTAGTGCTGTGCATGCATATTAAAGTTAATGATGCACGTTATATTGTCGTACAGGGCACAATGCAATAACATTGTAATACAGCATTGAATTTTTATTTGCTGCGCAGCCATTGGTGGAGGCCACGTTGCTGTGGTGAAGGCTCTGCTGAGGAATGGGGCCAAGGTGAATGGGCCTCAGTACTGGACAGGGTGGACATCTCTCCACCAGGCCACGTGGAAGGTGTGAGGACTGTTTTAAGCGTGACATTCATAGTTTTCGCTCTTCCAATTGTTAAAATCCAAACATTTACCAAAACACCGCTTAACACTGATGAGTCACCATTATGTTGGGCAGAGTTGCCACTTGTTAAGAGTAATAGCACTCACGAGGCAATTTCTAGACCACAATAAGCACTATTGGGACCATAGCTGTCATTGCCTCCTGCTGCATTTACATTGACAATCCTTCCTTATCACTCTTATATCGATACTATTGTAGTTACCGTTTCATCTCATCCTTACTGTGTTCACCACACTGCAGGTCACAACAACACACTCGCCCCTCACTCACACGTTCACTCAACCCACTCACCGACAATGCAGGTCACCTCACATCCCTTTGTGCTTCTTCCTGCGCATTGATCCATTGGGAAATTTCCTCCCATTATCTCTTTTCCCAACCTAAAACTAAACAATTTTTATTTTACCGGGTACGGCCCACTGAGCTGTTTAGCTCTTTTTCGGAATCAACCTGGCCACAAATGATAGCTCAATAAAGTTGGTTATCATGTGGGAAATGATAGCAGTCAAATACTCTTGAACGCATCTTTCTAAATGTGGAGGGATAAAATCAGAGGACCCGCAGAACAATCCACACAACCACGGGGAGAACATGCAAACTCCAAATATACAGGCGTCAGGGTTGGGATCAAACCCACGACCTCTGGCATACCAGGCGAGGGAGTAAACATCTTTCCACCGTGGCTGTTGTAATAACCTTGCTCAACTCAAGACTCGTGTTAACTTGTTTCTATTGCAATTGTGAAGTGCTATTATTTTCTGGCCACTTGGCATTTTGGGCCTGTATTCAGAAACTGATCAAATAACATGTCATCATCCACTGTTGGATGAAGGCTTCGCATTGCCGCCACCTCTGATGATCCTGCGATGTAACAATCCACTCGCACCTCCACGTGGCCTTATCTAATCCTTTCTAATTTTGTCTCTGCAACAGACGTCTCGACTTCTTTTTCTAACCCCTTTGTACATGGCCTTTGTTTTGCTCTTGTTTATCCTGAGTGCAACTCTGTAGCCTTCTCTATTGATTTCTTCTGGAGCTAAATCACATTGGACGTTACAATGACTGTGTCGTCTGTAAATCAGAGATGGCGAATGTTTTTTTTCCTTGATAAATATAGCTTTCATACTCTTTGGTTCTTTCGGTAAAGTCACGTAGATAGGACAATAAATAATAGATCATGACGTTTCGATCGCAACAACAAGCAATCGTCTTCAGGTGAGAGAGAGAAGCATGCCGTTGTGACGAGGCATTATATAGATCCGAGAGGGGGGAGGGAGGGGAGGCTGTAATGGGTGAGAGGGTCGGGGTGAAATTCAAAGAGGGCTTAGGTGAGAGAGCGACAAAAGGAAAAGGAAGCTTAGATATCAAATTTAACAAAATTTAGAAATGTAATGCAACTCAGAGAATAGGCTAACACAACAGTTAACACTTTACCTGGTAGATCACGTCCTTCCAAAGATTGCTAAATTTTGCATCCATCCTCTCGGTTGAAGTTATGTCTGAGTTGTGTGGAAATCTTCCCCGTAGAGGCGGTTCAATCTTGATTTGAAGCTTTCGTGACTGCAGGAATTCATACTCTTTGGTTTTTTCGGTAAAGTCACATAGATAAGAAAATAAATAATAGATCACGATGTTTCGATCGCAACAACAAGCAATCGTCTTCAGGTGTGAGAGAGAAGCATGCCATTGTAACGAGGCATTACATAGATCCGAGAGGGGGCAGGTAGGGGAGGCCATAACGGGCGAGAGGGTGGGGGTGAAATTCAAAGAGGGCTTAGGTGAGAGAGAGATCCAAATTTCACCCCAACCCTCTCGCCCGTTACGGCCTTCCCTCCCCTGTCTCGGATCTATATAATGCCTCGTCACAACGGCATGCTTCTCTCTCTCACCTGAAGACGATTGCTTGTTGTTGCAATCAAAACGTCGTGATATATTATTTATTTTCCTACCTACGTGACTTTACCGAAAGAACCAAAGAGTATGAATTCCTGCAGTCATGAAAGCTTCAAATCAAGATTTATAGCTTTGTTTTTCCAAATTATCTTCTCATGCCCTGTAAATAACTTTGGCAAAAGCACGTCACTTTGATCGACTCTCAGTTTAACATGTATTTTGGTCCTTTCTTCATTAGTATTACTAAGAAACTACATCTAACTTGCAGTCTGACTGCTGATGAGACATGGAATGCCAAAAATGTCCCAGAGTGTGCTTATGTTGAACTAATGCATTGACATATTACATTTCAAGAAGGTCTTGTGGCTAATGGGATGTATGTTAAAAACACTTATTTTCATGTAAAGGGACAGATATGGGAAGGAGGCCTCTAGTCTGCCTATTATGTTTGTTATTCGTTGAAATTGGTAAAAGAGTCAAATTGTCGAGTTAGCTGGACAAACAAACATACATACATGAAAGCTTCATTGCATCTCAAGATTATCTTTCAGGATGGTCCTGTCGAGTTTTTTTGAGTAGTGGGAAGCATTAATGTGTGTGTTATGCTAATTGAGTACTTTCCAGGAAATGTTTCAGCATTTGGGATGTTGGGCCAATACCAATTACTTTACTCTTTGGTTCTTTCGGTAAAGTCACATAGGTAGAAAAAATATATATCACGACATTTCGATCGCAACACAAGCAACCATCATCATGTGTGAAACAAACACAGCAGGAGGACTGCTGACGTAGGAGAAAGAGCTGCTGCAACAAGAGTTTATATAGGATTTTTGGTGGGCCCAACCCAAGGGTAAGTGGGCGGAGCTAGAGAAGGAATTTGTACGTAAATGTAAATGTGAGAGATTAGCATGTCAATATGAGACGGCCCAGCCACGAGAGGTGTGCCAATGAGAAGATTAGCTTGTCAATGTCAGAGAGCCGGGCAACAGGAACAAAAAAAGAGTATAGATTCCTGCAGTCACGAAAGCTTCAAATCAAGGTTGAACCAACTACTTTGTTTGGGTTTTTTAGTGTGCAACGTATTGGAACTAAATTCATTCACAGATTTCTCCTCGGCTGGATCGCTCATCATCTGTTTCATTCTGTCTTTATCCGCAGGGCCATGTGGAGCTGTTGCAGTTGCTGCTGGAACGTGGGGCACGTGTCGAGGCTCGGGACGACTATGGCATCACACCCCTCTTCCTGGCAGCCCAATATGGACAGGCTCCCTGTCTCAGGATTCTCTTGCAGCACGGTAGGCTCATCTCGGACTATGCCAACAGCACGTCAAACACTTTGCACAAACACAAAACGTAGCCACATTTTTGTTTATGTTGCTCTGTCTCACAGAATTTGGCTTCCACCTTCCCATAGAGTAAACCTGGATATATTTATCAAGCGGTGTAGGCTTATTAAAACTATCAAAACTGAAATTTATTGTGATAAAGTTCAAGGCAATGCCGGTACAAGATCTCGGTACAAATGAGTTCCTGCCACCCAAACACAGATGCCAATTCCCGGCCTTTACTTGTCTAACCTGGATAGGTAGCGACTCTCTTAACAGCAACGATAGCTCTGCTAAATGTATCCTGTAATGTAGCACTGTGGAGGCAAGGTTTGGTGGATCGCACGCACACACTCGTGAAACTCCCTTCCTGCCCATGGGCTTCGATGTCGGCATCTGCTGGCTTGTCATGGAACAGTAGTACAGTCTTGCAGACCACCGGTTGGGATCGACTGACTCGTGTGGTGAGATATCCGGCGCTCACTACTGAAGTCGTGATGTACGCCATCCTGCATCATTTGTGCACACAGGCCCTGATGTGAATGCAAAATCCAAGGACTGGGCGACTCCACTTTTCATTGCGTCGCAGGAGGGCCACACCGAGTGCCTGCGGCTGCTGCTGGACAACGGGGCCCAGCCCGGCCTCCCCTGCAACGAGGACGGCTGGCAGCTGCCCCTCCACGCCGCTGCTCAACGCGGGCATGTCCAGTGCGTATGGCAGGTGTACGGGCATTGGCTGGAGAGGCTAGATACAGACTCGACTCGAGAATTCGAGAATTTTTTGGCCAACCAGGTGGCTCGACGGTGGAGTGATGAATAAGTTAGGCATAGATGATTGGACATCTGTTAAAAAGAGCTTATTATCTCATCGAATTCCTCCAGTATAAATAAATATTCCGGTTCTGATGGTACTTGGTGATAAACAGGGACTGTGATTAAGTAATAAACAGTGACTATGATTAAGTAATAAACAGTGAAGTCAGAGTGATTTTATGCTTATAAATGAGCATTGAGGTGATGCTAATCTTTTTATAACTCTGAGCCAGTGGAGGAAATTACGTATTTCTATAGTGGGAACAAGTCTCTCCATAGAAAGCCACTGTTTACCCCCCCCAAAAAGTTCCACTTATTTCATTGAGCAAACCCCACATACAGGATTGAACTCATGCTCTTCCAATTGTGAGCCATTCACTCTCCTGCTGTGCCACTCGGGCTGCTTATCTGACGTGTCAGCAAAATTAATATGTATTCGCAGTGTAATGAGTCCACCAGACGAAGGTTCAGATGACACACTCCTCTTTATTTTCTACACGAGCTCACGCTGCGTGCGACCACTCCACTCCAAATCCCAGCAGGAAGCGCTCCGATCTCCCTGCCTCATTCGGTGACGTCACCACTCCCCTCCTGAGCGTTCCCTCTCTCTCATGCCCCGAATTCTCTTTCCTTTTGTCCGTGACGTCATCTTTAACAATAACCTGGGTCCCTTGGGTATTTCTATCCCCGAATCGCTTAAGTATTAACACTACAGTAGCAAAGCGTAATCTTAACCCTCGATAAGGCCGCACATCTCTCTCCTGGCTACAGAGTTGACTCTACATGTACTGGTCTGCTCAGGTTGGTGAGCTTGTTGCTGCCGATGACGGACGCCGGTTGCGGGTGGCAGCCGGGAGCCGTGAGCCCTGTGTATTCGGCCACGCACGGAGAGAGTGTAGGTTGCCTGCGCTCCTTGCTTGAGGCCGGGTACAGCCCGGATGCACAGCGCTGCCCGCTGCTGGGGCTCGAGTCTCCGTTGCATCTGGCGATCTCCAGCGGGTACGCATCTCCCACACATCTCCCACGCGTCTCCCACGCATCTCCCACGTGTCTCCCACTCGCTCCCTGCCGCTATCCTGGCAATAATCTGATCATTTCCGGTGATGGTGCTTGTATAGGCACCCTGGGGATAGCCACCTGTCCGGCATTGACCCGGATAGATGGCACTGAGAATTGGCATAAGTCAACGAATTGGCAGCTGTGTTTCGGGTGGCAGGAACTAATTTGTACTGAGATCTGGTACCGGTATTGTGATTAACTTTATATCAAGACACGGAATGGTTCTGATAGAGCTATACTAATTGAGAAATATATCCAGATTTGTACGTAGTGGGAGCGATGACGCAGTGGTTACCGTGCTGCATTGCAAACTTGGCGGCTTGAGTTTGATTCCCTCTCACGGACAATAACAGTGAATATCTGTCTTAATTTTGGAGCTTTCGTGACTGCAGGAATTATTCTTTGGTTCTTTCGGTAAAGTCACGTATAAAGATAAAATAATAAATTAAATAATTGCATACGACGTTTCGATTGCAACACAAGCAATCATCATCAGGTATAAATGAAATAGCAACAAAAAATCTAACCAGAAAACTATAGACAGACATATAAGCAGACAGATATCACCAAGATACATAGAGAGAGTAACACAGGCACAGAGAGGGAGATCGTCTCTGTGGCGTGGCCTTAAATAGACAGAGGGGGGCGGAGGCAGAGAGAGTCGGTCAACACACTCGTTTTTTGTCGTTCTTATGTTCTGCTCTGTTTGTGTGTCCCTCTTCCTCTTGTGTTTATGTTTTGTCTTTCTTTGGAATTTTCACACTTAAATTCTAACTTAGTAATCTTTGAAATACGTAATCGACCAGGCTATGCGTTAATTGTGTGTTGACCGACTCTCTGTGTTGTATTACATAACATTTCGATATTTTGCTAGGTTATTTAATTTAGTGTGTTCTTTCTCCCTCTCTCCTAATGTTCAAGCCTGCGTACTTTACTACGCGTTCTTTGTACTCATTGACATGTTAATTTTTTCTCTAACCCCTCCCTCTCTCTGCCTCCGCCCCCCTCTGTCTATTTAAGGCCACGCCATAGAGACGATCTCCCTCTCTGTGCCTGTGTTACTCTCTCTATGTATCTTGGTGATATCTGTCTGCTTATATGTCTGTCTATAGTTTTCTGGTTAGATTTTTTGTTGCTATTTCATTTATACCTGATGATGATTGCTTGTGTTGCAATCGAAACGTCGTATGCTATTATTTAATTTATTATTTTATCTTTATACGTGACTTTACCAAAAGAACCAAAGAATGAAGTGAATATCTGAACTGGTCCTGCGAATCCAGGACCAACTCAGCCTTTAATGAGTAGCTGGTGCTGTGTGCAAACATCGCCAATGGGAAGACATATGCCGCAAACCAAGTTCACAGCCACACCACCTCCTCTTGTTCCAATTTGGTATTCATAGATTCTTAACAGCTTTTGATACAACAAATTGAAAAGGTCTACAGGGAATCTTTGTCTCTGTCTTTGTTCTTCCAAACTCCTAATGTTGTGACTACAAAGACTGAGCTGTTATTTCTGTTTTTGTTGGCCGAAGGCCCTTACCTGGTTTTAAACATGATGAGTACTTAACGTGAGGGGCGCCACTGTGGTGAGATGTTATCTCGCTCGCCTGGTATGCAGGAGGGTTGGATCCCGACCCTGAACGCCTGTATATTTGGAGTTTGCATGTCTCTCTCCCTGTGTTCTTGTGGATTTCTCTCCGGTTCCTCCGGTTTTTCCCTCCATATTTACAAACATGTGTTTAAAGTATTCGGCTGCTATTAATTTCTACACTATGATAAGCCACTTCGTCGTGCTATCAGTTGTGGCCAGGTCGCTTCTGAAAAGGAGCCATATAGCTCAGTGGGCCTTACCTGGTAAACTAGAAAAAATATTGTTTTGTTTAGATAGTTTATAGTTTATCAGTTTTAGTTATGTGTTTGCCTTCAGCAAAAAGAGCATTCTGTTAAAATACAATTATAAACCCTATTTTGTTGTATCACTTCTAAATAATTTTAAACTAATTCTCGAGACACTGATAACTTCCAATAGATTACATTTATTAAAATAATATTTGAATACAAATACAGCTCGATCTGTTCACGCCATTCTCCCTCTGCTGTCTACATGCACACTGTCAGCATTTCAGACAAAGCATCACTGATTTCATTGACCTGATAAAAGCCTTTGACACAGATGCCCACAGAATCTTGCATTCGAGATTACTCTTCTGTGAAATTAGCTCAAGCCTCATATCCCATTACAGGAATCTCCTACTATATGTAGGGGATGCATTATTGGAAAATGCTACTTAACTCAAAATTATTTCAAGTGAATCCTAATATTCACAGAGACAATGTTAAAATCAGGGGTTGCATTCCAAGCCAACATTTCCAGAAAAAAGTTGCTCAACTAAATGTCATGAAGTACATACAAATGCATACGATTATAAGTTAACATACATTTGAACTCATGATAAATATAATCGATGAAATAGCACTTAGATATGATTTAAGAGCTTGCTGATCAAGGCCTCTTGGGGTGAGCTTTGGTCGAGTTATGCAGAAGCAGAAGGGGCATGATCACCCACCTCTTCATCTGACGATGAAGCTGGAGCCACAGGAATGTTCACCAGTGGAAGCTGCCTCTCCTTTCTGAACCTTCTAACTTGATTGTCGAATGTTTAAAACAACTGCTTCCAAATAAATACAAGCCTCTGCCAATACAGTTGATCATCGATTATATATCCGGCGTGCGATTATCTGGTGGTCCCGGACCGATCCTGTGAAAACAGCAAAACCACTTCAAAGGCTGTATAACCAGTCCGGCGATTGGCACCATGTGCATGACAAAAAAATGTAGCTATGCTTGATTTCAGTGTTAAATATTATAGATAGTATATTATACATTACATACAACGTAAACAATTAATATACCTCATGAGGCATCCTTTGCCAGTAGCAAATATAATAGGTTTTTACCCTTTTTCTGGAAACAAAACTGAAACCTTTTTACAACGAATCATGTTTGTATTAACCACAATACCTGCGAACAGAATGCAAAAAAACACACTCTGATAATGTATGCATTGTCCTTGAAATTGATTGGTCCACAACAGAGACAGCTTTCCTTAAAACCTAGTCTCATATCGTGTTTGACCAGATGACGCCAAAAGGCGCACAACTCAAAGACAATGCACTATCAGAAGGGGAAAAAACCTATTATTATATTTTGCTACTGGCAGAGGAGGCCTCATGATGTAAATGCTTACCCCGAGCCCTCATTACTCTGAGAAGATGGGTACAAACTGAGCAATCATTGGAAGGACGTTATCAACCAGTTTAAGTCATAATTGGCGATGATGTTCCAATCCTACCACCTTTTGATGTTAGTTGTGCTTCACGCCTATTTCAAACTTGTGCTTTCACAGTCACTTCACACGCCGACCCCTTGGTTGCAGCTCTACGATCTTCCATTATTAACATGCTAATCTCTCTTTAACATGCTAATTTTCACCTGGCAGCCCTTTGATTGGTGGAAAACCAACCACCGTCAGGTTGGCTGCCCATCACTTACATTATCATTGGCTGCTGACATTTGGGCTACGCCCATTTCAAAACCTTATAAATAGTTTGCCTTGGAAGCTAACCCCCCCTTTCCCTGAAGACGACTGCTTGTGTTGCGATCGAAACGTCGTAGTTTTTTGTTATTTTTTGTTATTTTCTTTGAACCTATCTACGTGACTTTACCTAAAGATTCTGTGGGGTAGTTTTGGCGGTAAGCTGACTGGAAGAAGCAGTAATTTGGGGAGGGAGTGATGTGGGGTTTTAGCTGGGCGAGGGCGAGTCTTTCGAGGAGTTTTAGAGAGGTTCGAGAGATTAGTGATGGGACGATAACTAGATGGGTCATCAGGGTCGAGACTTGGTTTATTTAACAGGGGAGTAACCAGGTCAGATTTGAGGTTGAACGGAAAACACCCCATAGAGAATTAGGCATTTGTGATGTTCCTGATCATGATGGCGAGTTCCGGAGCACATTGCTTGAACAAGGAACCTGGGAGGGCGTCGAGTGGAGATGACTTCATGTGAAGTGGTTGAATCAAAGAGAAAACGTATTTTGAAGACACCGGCTTGAACGTGGTTAGAAAGGTGTCTGGGTGAATGACTACAATTTCAGAAAACAGGAGCGGGGTACAATGGTGCGATGTGAGGGAAGACGTGCAGAACTTTGTGATGGTGATCAGCTTGTTGGTGAAGTAAGTTTTAAAAGAGGTGGCAAGTTTCAGTGAGGCCAGTGGATCGCTAAGGTGAGGGACCCTGTTGCTACCAGGATGTAGAAGATCCTTGAGGTTTCCAAAGGATGCTTGGTTTTCCGGTAGCTCTTTTGATGCGCGTTTCAATGTAGGAGGAACGTGAGGCAAGGATAAGTTTGTTCGTTTTCCTGCAGGCAACTCTGTAGGCAGCTCTGTAGGCAACTCGATCAGCATGAAGATCACTACGGGATGCGATCCTTTCAAGGCGCCTCCTGTTTCGCTTAGCAAAGATGGCATCTTTTGAGAGCCAGCGAGTGTCGTAGGAAGGCTGCCTCGTGGTTCGTGGTTTTAATGGAGCCAGCTTGTTCAGCACCGCCCTCAGGTCAGCTTCTAGTTGAAGAGCGCAGACAGTTGGATCGGATGATGGGGATAACATTGAAGGCGAGTTTGCGAGGAGGTGCTGTAGAGTGCAATACTTGATACCCTTGAAATTACGGGAGTGGAGGGTGGATGGTGATTGGCTTGGGAATTTGAAGGGAAAATAGTATGAGGTGGTGGTCGGAGTAACCAGTTTGTAAAACTCCCAGTGCAGTGATGCATCGATCCTGGTCAAGTTCCAGAACCAGGTCGAGCATACTCTCAACATTTGTTGAGGAAGCTCTGGTGGGGCCTGAGTTGGTGATGACCAGGTTATGGCAGGCCAGGGTTGACTCGAGGTGCCTGTCAATGGAGGCTGGGGTATTGCCAGGGCAATTAAAGTCTCCAGTCAGCACGAGCCTGTGAGATGGGTTAGGAATGAGGTAAATAAATTCGGAAAGCTCGTTTAAGAAGGTATTGATGCTGCCATCTGGAGGGCGATTGATGGAAATGAGGGAAAGCACTCGGTGTTAGTAGTGGGGGACACGGCCTGGACCTCAAAGGTGGTGGGAGCCATCGCTAGATAGAGCTCTTTAATTTTCAAGTGTGCATTGTAGACGACCGCCAAGCCACCACCCCGCTGGTTACCGACTTTTCCCGCATATAGCCGGTATATAGCCCGCAGACGCATATAACCCGCAGACGCATATACCCCGCAAAAATAGCGTTTTGTGTAAAACAAATGTCAGATAGCCCGCACCTCCATATACCCCGCATATGCATTCATATATTTAACGTCGTTACCGCAGCTTAATTCCATCATATTAATACGAAGTTTACATTTGTAATACATTCCACTATCAATTGTAAACATTAAAATCATAACGTGCACAAATAAAACAAACTAACCAGGAACGAGTGAACTTAAAACAGTAAATAAGTAACAAAAGTAAATATCCAATAAATAAGTAACACATAACTGGTAGATAAGTAAGTACAGTTTTAGCACTGGGAGATTGCGCACTGTGCAGACAATAGCGGAACTACGGTAACGCCGTTGCCCCCCCCCACCTCTAAAGCCCCAGCTGCCCCACCCCCCACCTCTCACCTCTCCCTCTTCCAAAATCTCCCGTCGCCACCGCAGATCTTGCTCTGCCCCACCCCCCACCTCTCTCGCCCCAGCTGCCCCACCCCCCACCTCTCTCCCCCCAGCTGCCCCCCCACCTCTCTCTCCCCCCAGCTGCCCCCCCACCTCTCTCTCCCCCCAGCTGCCCGACCCCCCACCTTTCTCTCCCCCCAGCTGCCCCCTCCACCTCTCTCTCCCTCCAGCTGCCCGACCCCCCACCTTTCTCTCCCCCCAGCTGCCCCCCCATCTCTCTTCCCCCAGCTGCCCCACCCCCCAACCCCTACATCTCTCCCCCAAGCTCTCCCGTCGCCGGTAAACAGTGCGCTAACTTCAAACGTTGTCGTTTTATTGTACAAACAATTCATTTAAAACGTGATAACATGTGCAATTTTAGTGTGAGTGGTTTATTCAGCAGTGCTTTAGTCAAAGGTAAGTGTTGCATAGTGGATAGTCCTACCATGATTTTTTTTTACGAGTTATGACATGGCACACGTGTAAAATATTTTTGGGATAGCCCGTACCTCCATATACCCCACAGGGTCTTGTTTTGTTTGTAAAAAGTGGTATACCCTGTGGGTTATATGCGGGAAAATACGGTACTTGCGCGAGGTTTATGAAGAACCTTGTATCCCGGGGGCGCGACTTCTAAAGAGATGGCTGGCGGGGAGTCTGGCCTGCACCAGGTCTCGGTAATAAGCAAAAGGTTGATGTGGTGGTCCAAGATGGTATCGTGAATCAGGGCTGATTTGTTGGTAATGGAGCGTAAGTTAAGTAGGCCGAGGCGGATAGGTAAAGGTGGATGTGAAGATCCGAAGAGGCGAGGCATCGAGAGATCAGAGGAAATAGCTGGTTGAAGGTTGACCTGTGAACAGCGGCCCCTACCGCCTCTGCAACCACGGTGTCGATATAGTCTCTGATGTTGACCTCGAAGAAGCCCGAGGCCAGAGAGCGTCCTCAGGAGCGCGGATTCCAGGTGCAGGTGATGAAGAGATGGTGCATGTCGAAAGCCCTATTATATCAGCCCATGCTGTACCGGTGGTGGTGATGGAGGGGGCCAGGATTTGGGTGGACTGCGATCAGCGGCTGTGCTGGCCGGAGCAGCAAGTTCAGATAGTGGTGCCCAAGATCCACGCCGTCAGCACGTGCTTCCCCGCACGTGGCGGGTGCGTACACGCCTACGTAAACACTCGTTGAGCATGTACGCGGGCGGACACGATCACGCACGCAGCGCGTAGAAAGTAGCGGCCAGAGAACACGAGGTCCAGTGAAGTAGCTGACCACGCGCCGTGCTCCAGCTCGCAGGTGATGCAACCAACTAATAGGCGGCGGTTGAACTTACTACTCTCGTTCCAAACAGGCAGCTAGACATATGGACAGGTTTGTTCTTATCTCTGAAAGTCGTAAGTATAGGAGTCCCTGTACCTTCAAATTACTCAAATGGGATTATGCATAACAGTAGCATTGCCCCCCTACTGGAAAACAACTTGACACTCAATCTTTCTTCAGTAAACAAGCTGTTACCCCTGTTTGCCATTTCCCACAGCTCCTCCAAGCTGGTGGACATCTTATTGGAGTTTGGTGCAAGTGTGACGACCTCGCACCTGGAGCTGAGTGTGAGGACAGGACGGTGCCGGCTTCTCAGCCGCTTACTGCAGAGTGGCTGTGCCCTACCCTCCACCTGCGATGCCGCGAGCCGCCTGTTCAGCCGGGAGGTGTGCGCTCGCTCTGGGAATGGACTCTACCGTCAATGGCTGCCACAGCTTCTGCTCGCTGGATTTGACGTTCAACTGCTGCTCCGCTGCCCTGACCGGTAACATACCCCTCCCCCTGAGCGCAATGGACACTTTTACGTTGAGAGGGAATAACGATGAGGATTTGTTTTTGATGTTGCACCTCTACGCCGGGCATCTTATCTCATCTCAACACATTTGGAAGGGCACCCCAGTGGCAGCTGTCTTTTGGTCATAAGGTAACTCAACACCTGGCCTGCAAACGAGCATTAGTCATTAGCTGATGGTGATTCCTGTATACAAATTTTTAACATTTGCAGGTAATGTTTCATTTGCCTACTCTTGCAAATGACGTCACGGAATCTTGTAATCTGTCTGTGAAGCAGACGGTGCTTAGCATTACGGTTATCACTCCCACCGTATTAATTGGGGAGGCCTCTACATTTGAACTGTGAACCTCTGCAACAAAGGGCGAACGCTCGACTGCGTGGCCATGTCACCGCCCGCAGTCCACAAGCATTGGGTTAAGCAATCCTGATTGCTGGCGAGACACTCATTGTCGAAACCAGTCTACAACTGTATTGCATTGAACCACTGCTGCTGAAAATATTCACTCCCAGAAGGCTGTGCGGCTAAATGGGATGTGTAAATTTAAAACAATTGTGAAGAGACAAATACGGGAATAGGCGTTTTATTATAAACACGATCTTCTTTGCCCGTCCTAGGACAGAAGCTGTAATATTTACGAAAAATGTTAACAGAATATAATTGTATCTTGTGTAAATTTAATGGCAGTGAATCTTGCACGAAAGTATGTCAAACACTTCACCGTATTTCACTGTAGCACTGTATTAATAGAAGTGAATCTGGCACAAAACGAAGTCATAAAACACTTCACAGCAGTTCACTGTAGAACTATTAATGGCAGTGATTCTTGCACAAAACTACGTCATAAAACACCTGACTTCATGTGACTGTAGCACTGTATATAACTGACCTTCAATTTGTTCAAATTCACTGCTCTGATACTTTATTCTCTTCTGCTTTCGGTCGCTGGGGTTGAAATGCATTGGAAATCGATACAATATCTGGAAAATCACCAATAAATGTCTTTTTTATGAAAAATAAAGAAACAAATTAAACTTACCTTTTGTCTGAAGTGCTGAAGAAATAAATAAAGACACAAAATCCACTTTGTTGCTGCGTAGAATTATTTATTAGATTCACTTTCAATTAAGAAACGTCAAACTTAAAGTGAATTTGCGAAAAAAAAAATATTTCTTTCCACTTGACCTTCTGCGTGAGTAAAAATCCACCCGCTCATGAATATTAATGACGGGGGGTGCGGCATGTGGAGTGACCTCACGCGCGGGACACAAACAGACATTCTTGGCTCATTATAGTAGTAATTCTCCACAAGGACGGTTCATTAGTCTGTGACGTAATTATGATATAATAAAAGAGCACGCCGTTATTTTTGAGTTGTAACTTATTTTTATATAAAACCAAATATGAGAGCATACCTGATACATTACTCGTGTACTTGACTTTTCTCTGAACTGAAAACGGCATGGTTTTCAGTGTAAAATCACCCCTTGTTTAATGTCTACTTTGTAACAACAGTGCATGAATGCTTTGATGACTTGTGCTCTCATTGTGTGGCTACAGACTGGTGATTCTAGACATGGGCGCCTTGACCTTCTGTTTGGAGTTTACAGACCACCGCAATTCGGATGTGTCATGCATTGGAAATCATCCACTCCCAGGAGACACTGACAGAGAACTTCAACACAAGTTTGGTAATGCTCTATTTGTCTTGTACACTTGGAGTGGCGGGGTGTCAGAGTTTAGCTATGTGCATTGACCATGCACATACCATGGAATAGACCGATGAAAATTAATTACTATTCTGGCTAGGATTTTTAAGACTGTAGAATGTATGCAGTCATCCAAGTGCATACTCAAGTTAGAGTCTTCATATTGACTGTTAAGAAAAGTGGTGGTGAGCTGTTAACTACCTTGCCTGGTATGCAGGAGGTTGTGGGTTCGATCCCAATCCTGAAACCTGCATATTTGGAGTGTGCATGTTTCTCTCCCTGTGGTCAAATGGCTTTTTTGCTGCGTTCTCCATTTTTTCACTCTACATTTAGAATAAACATGCATTTAGAGTATTTGGTTACTAAAAATCTGCACATTATAAGCCACTTTGTTGGCATTTGTGGCCAGGCAGCTTTTGAAAAAAGAGCTATATAGTTCGGTGGGCCTTACCTGGTAAAATAAAAATAGTTTTAACATAGAGTGGGCTTGGGCAGGACACTGGCCAGTGGGCAAGAATAACTACTGAGTGGGAGCCAAAGGGGTGCATGCACCCAAGAGGATGTCCACCGTGGAGATGGGAGCAATGAGATTGGCTGGAGCACAGGTGCTGGGTGGTACGTTGCATTGTGAGACAGTGACGGATGGAGATTTCTTGGAGAGGCCTTCATCCAGCAGTGGATTGATCGTGGCTGATGATGTGTGATGACAGTTGATCTTATTGTTTACTACACAATAATTTTATAATCTTTGTTTGTGAATATGATCTAAGATCTCTCTTGAAAAATATACTTTTTATGTTAATCAACTATCGCTTTGTAAAATATGTAATACATGATGGACATTGGACAACTGAAGTGAATATACAGTGAATTATGCAGGAACTATTCTAGGACCCAGATCTAACAGAGACGGTCCTTTTGACACGTAGGCTTTTGCGATCAATATTATTCATAAAAGGCGTTTTTGGGTTCGATCGCGTAAGTATAAATGTGTTGTTTACCCGCCCCCACCTGACAGAGCCAACAGTAAGCTTTGTCACAAACAAAATGTGCCAATTAGCTACTACTTCAGCCCACCAGTGTAAATGTTGTGTATTTACTTCAACACACATTTATACTTATACGATCTAACCGAAAACACCTTTATTATGAGAGAGGGTTCTTGCTATAATCTCTGGCAGTTCACCAGCACTCATACAAGCAAGCCTGACGACTGATGAGAACACAGATTGTCAAAATCGGTCCAGTGCTTTGGTTGAAGCAATGCTGCTCGAATGGTGTACCCCTAGAAGACTGTGTTTATGATGGGATCTGTAAAAAGTACTTGCGTTGATTTTGAGGGGGTGACATATGTTTGAAGGTGACAGCTTGTCATCTCCTTTGAGTGCAGAGTGCCCCGCCACCCTGCGCCACCTGTGCCGCCTCCGCCTGCGGCTCGCGGTTGGGGATCGCAGACTTCGAGCTCAGCGCGGCGGTCAGGATTGGACCTGCTACCTGCCGCTACCGACCAGCCTGCGGGAGTTTTTGCTCTATCGCGACGTCCTCACAGCTCATGGGATACCTGATCCAGATGCCACTTCTGGCAACGAAGCAGAGTGATCGGACTTTGATCGGACTACATGAGACACTTGCAGTAATAGCCCAGTGTGCAGTGGCCTATTGGGGCATTATGAAAGTAGATAAGTGATGCGCATGCCACGATGGAACTTACGAGTTGACTCGCTCGTACAAGGCTTGTGAAGAGGGTCTGCACTTGATGAGGTGTTTTCGAACTAGAAACTCGATATGCTTGTCAACAACACTGGCCTGAAAATAAAATAATATATCATTGGAAACATTCGGTTCAATGGCACTTCATAGTACACAAAATTTGCACATGAAGAGTGCCATTTCCCAAAACGTCGCTGATTTTATATACTTTAAAGGCATTGTTGATGAAAAGTGTGGTGTTATTTGTGCTTGTGCTCAACTGCTGACACAGCAGCATCACTAAATAATTTAATTACACAACTCAGCTTGCCGCGATGTAGTGTTTTGATTAATATTGTTATATTGTCATTGTTGCCTCGTTTTAGTTTTCCTAAATCTTTTTTTTCTTCTGAAATAAAACGTAACTATTTTATTGATAACTATACAGAATGTATACATGATATCAATACTTTGAAAACATTTCCAGAGTAATTTGTCGTGGCAATTGAGCTTCATGGAGTTTCAAGACTGTTTTTCAGGAGGGTACTGCCAGTCGTGAGAGTGGCTTTTTTTTGGGAGGAATCTGGAGAACCCAGAGAGAAACAGCCCAGAGGAGGGAGGGGGTGACACCCGATGCACTTGAGGGAGAATCGAGAATCCGCTACTGTGCTTACATCTCTTGTCCGCCTCGCAGCCACCTCCAACACGACAGCACCTGCCAGTCCAAAGCAGTGTCCCAATCAAGTACTAATCAGGCTGACTGTAGATTTTACTTATTTTATCAGAATATACTGCAGGAGGAATCCGATGAGCTATGAAGCTCTTTTTCACAGATGACCAATACGGGGTAAGAACGTTACAAGAACAATGCAAAAACATGATAGTGCAAAGTACAAGAAAGGTAAACGAATCCCCAAAACACATTCATATAAAATTAAACTATCCCCATCCTACCAGGTAAAGCCCACTGAGGTATTAACTTGTTTTTCACAAGCCACCTGGCCACATATATCTTAATAAAGTAGTATATCATTTAGACATTAATTGCAGCAGAATATAAATAATCTCAATGCATGTTTCTAAATATGGAGGGAAAAACAGGTGGCGTGGAGAAAAATACATGCGACCACAGGGAGAGAGACGCACAAACTCCAAATATACAGCAGGCGTCAGTCAGGGTCGATATCGAACCCCCGACCTGCATACCAGGTGAAGATAACTGAAAGCGCGGTGTGATGTGTTTGCATATTGTGTTCCATGAGTACGACCCTTCCAAAACCCTAACAACCCGCCACTCACGCTAGCCCCTCCCTGCCCCTCAACTTTATATCGCACTACATTTAGTTTTTTATCTATTATGGTAACTTTGTATTTATCACTTTTAAATGGTGCCTGTGTTGTTTTGTTTTACCTATACTCTGGTTCTTTCGGTAAAGTCACGTAGGTATAAAATAAAATAAATCACGACGTTTCGATTGCAACAAGCAATCATCAGGTGGGAAAACCACAGCAAGAAAATGTTTTGCTTAAGTGGGAGAGAGATGCCGTGGTAAGAGGTTATATAGGTAAGAAAGGGGGAGGGGGGCAAGGGGTGAGAGAGGGGGGTAGGGGGTGGGGAGTGTTGCCTCGACGCTAGGAGAGGGACGTGAAGCTGGACGGGGGGAATTGGGCTGGGCTGGGCTGGAAGTGGGAGGCCGAGAGAGCTGGGGATGAGGGGGGGATTAACACGGAAAAATAGGCTAGTACCCGGACCCGGCAGATATGATAGAAAGCAGTTAGGGTTTTCCCTGGTTAATATCATCCTTCCAATTGCTCAATTTGTATCCATCTTCTCGCTTGAAGTTATGTCTATGTTTATATATCTGGATAGCTGCATGAACAAACCTTTGATAGCCCGAAGATTTGCAGAGTACCTTGGTCTCGGAAAACACTATGAGCCCACAGCGTTATAACTGGTCAGCTACGGCAGAGGTATTGGTTCTGCCGTGTTTCAGATCTGCCTTGTGTTCGCAGACACGGTCCGAGACATGTTTTGTTTCCCCGATGTAACTGCTGCCGCAGGTGCAACTCGGTTTCTAAAATCCAGGATATTGCATGTCAGGGATGACATCCTTCACAGATGGGATTAGATCATGGATTTTGTGTACTTTATTTAATCGGACCTGGATCTTGTGTTTGTTTAAGATTTTGGAAATATTTTGGTAACACCTGCTATGTATGGTAACATGATGGTTTTGATTGGCTTCTCAGGGGTTGTTTCTCCATAGTTGGAGAAACAGCTTTGCAAATAATGCGGTCCGAGTACCCATTCATCTTGAGGGCCTGGTGTACGTGTTCCAGTTCACTGGCTAGGTGGTGTTGTTCGGAAATGCAGTGGGTCCTATGGTTTAGTGTTTTGATAAGGGAATTCTGTGCCAGATGGTGGTGGGAGTCAGGTTTCAGATAGGAATCCGTGTGGGTGGATTTCCTGGAGACAGTGTCCCAACGAGCCGTCAGGTCTCTTCTCAAACAAAACATCCAAGAACGGTAGCTTACCATCCTTCTCCACTTCCATGGTGATTTTTATGGATGGGTGTATGGAATTCATGTGGTTGAGAAATTGGTTCAAAGCTGGCAGGCCATGTGGCCAAATGACGAAAGTGTCATCTACATCTCTTCCACACGGAAGGACGTAGGGTGGATGTCTGGATTGCATCTGTTTCAAATTTCTCCATGAAAACATTCGCTATCACTGGTGATAAGGGGGGGACCCACGGGGGTACCTTCATTTTGTTTGTCGAAAGTACCATTCCAGGTGAGGTAAGTGTTGGTAAGGCAGTGCCTAACCAGAATAGGTACATCAGGATTCAGTCCATGTTGGACTAAGTCTTCAAATATTGCTAAGGTGTCAGGTACAGGGACCTTGGTGAACAGGGAAACTACATCAAAGTATGCAATTCAGCTCACTTGGTCTCTCTAATCAAGGGCATTTCACTCTCCCCATATGATTTGCTCGTCAGCTTTGATGTAGTTTCCCCTTCCTTGTGGAAGATATATGTAGATGACACTTTCGTCATTTGGCCACATGTCCCTTTTTAGATTCCGCAAATAATGAACCGTTGCTGCACGTTTAGCCGCACCCCAGATTCCCCGCACGTTGACCGATGCAAGAGAGCCAAGGGTGTTTTTGTCCGGCTCGGCAGAGAAGTGCTCCAGCAATGAATAGCAGTTATCGACCAAGTCCAAAAAACATTCGGCACCCACGGATTTCGGGAAAGACCCCATCCCTTGGATCATTTTGGCTGTGAGCTCGTCTTTGGATGTAGCCAAGTTTTCTGTTGAGTCGGACAATTGGGGGCCCTTCAAGGAAGCAGACCATCATGAGGCTTCCGGTGCTATCCTCTTTGCTTTCTTCCAGCCAGTCCCCTCGAATGACCCTCTATTCAACTTTCTTCTGCTGCGTTCCATCACCCCTTGTCACCCCAACCTCCCCTGCCCAGTCAGCCACAATTGGCTCAGAGACTGCCTCCTCCACCTCATTGGCCTTGGAGCGGTCTTCCTGCCGACTCGTAGATGCTCCTCCATCCACAGACAGCGCTTCCAGCTCCTCTCTCTCGTCCAACAGTGGTGTTCTCTGGTCGACTGTCTCTCCTTAATCATCAGTTGCCCGATTACGTAGAACGTGCTCCAAAGATTCAACCATCTCTCTGCTTCCTCCATCATTAGCCTGGTTTTTGCGTGCCCGGACCATATTTGCAAACGATTTGGCGCAGTTCCAGAATAAATGGTCCTTGCTTCCAGAGGTTGCATTGTGCTGGGGCTCGGCACTCATCCACTACATGGTCCAGCGATTTGCAGCGGTAGCACACTCGTGCTTCACATGCCACTGCCAGGTGACCTCGTCCACCGCACCTTCTACAGAGTTTGGGTTGGCCTTCATAGACAACGAAACCTCTACTACCACCAATGTAGAGGGCGCTCGGGATGTGTTGCAGGGCACCGTCAGCAGCTCTCAATCTCACCCGCCACTGTCTAGCACCAGTCCAGATGCCCAGCGAGTCCTGGACACGTTTGCAGGTCGACAACAGATGGCAATGCTGTCGTAGCCACACCATATCATGATCTGGTAGAGATTCATTGTACAGAAAGACCGTCATCATTTTCGTATCCAATTCTGACAGCAAATGCAGTTTGAGCAGAGACAGGCCCCTCACCTGCCTCCTCAAAGCGTTGCAGTAAATTGCTGGTCCTAAAGTTGACAAAGGCCCTGTCGCCCGGCAGAGCTATCAAACAAAATATGTCCTATAACCACAGTTCGCACAAAAATCGAGCGGTCCATAGTCACCTCTTCTGGCACGTCCTCCTTAAAGGAAAACCAGACGCTGTTGTGTCACCTGATGTGTGAAGCTTGCTCCCGGCCCACCGCGCCAATGCCCTGCACGTTCCTGGCGCACTCCAGATAGTCGAGTCGCAGCAGCCTCCACCTCGGCAGCAGTCGACGTGGCTTGGTCATCCTGGATCGCCTCAACAGCTCGGCAGGTCTCCATATCCACTCAAGAATTGGCGAGGCAACCCCTGGCCCGACAGCCAGGGTACCTGCCTCTCCACAGATCTTTAGTAAAAGGCTGAAAAGAAACCAGAGTCACAGCACCTGTATTTAAAAGTTGTATTCCAGCTATGTACAGTACGCTGTATCAAACAGTTGCAAAACAGTAACAACAACCCACACGAGGGACGTTGCCGTGAATACTGGATCCCTTACAACACCTCAACACATGGAGTGTCCTGATAACAAAAACTTTGCTGGTCTATCCAATACCTTTCAAAACAAGAGTCCGCGATTGCCGAACCGAGTCTCGTTCCTCGATTTCCGGTGCTGGGGCAGATAACTCTTCCAAGTGCTGTTTGTGACAACCTACTTTTGCCTTGTCGACCTCCACCACCCGGCCGATCAGCCTACAGGTTAAGTGGTAAACCTCGGAAGGTATCATGTCACCTTTGAATATCAAACCTCGCGCCTTCCACAAGGCTTATTTTATAGCCCCCACAACAGCCCATGCCTGAGCCCAAGCCCTTCCTGCTTTCCGCCGAAAAACTCCAAATTATATTTGGCATTGTAACCTTGATAGGATAAAAACTGGCTAGCAAACGCTATCACAGCTCCCACACCTCCTGCGCAAAAGGACACTGCACAAAAGCATGACTCGTGTACTCGTCCGAATTACAGCCCCTTGGGCATTTAGGGGTGGCGGGCTATATGGCAGGAATGCATAAACGCCCTGCATGGCAACCTTGTCCCAGACCGCAAGCCAAGACATGTCCTTTTGCATCTTAGTTAGGACCTCAGATGCCACGTTACCCCATATTTGTTGGTGAAGGGCACCCCGTGCGTCCTGGTACCTCTGCGCAGGTTTCCTTCTTGCCAATCTCGACGAGAACACTTCGTGGGTGCCACGACTCTCTTACAAGGGCCGGCTCGTATTCTGCGATGTATTTGTTAACTGCGGCACACAGCCACCCCTGCGTCCACGGCGAGGGGCTTACAGCGAGACAATGGAGCCATGC